CAATTGGGAGAAAGTTTTCTCATAATGACCGGCGCAGCCGAAAGTCAAGGTTGGACACCTTACGCCATAATAACATTCTTAAGGACCAGTCTATCAGTTTTACTTTCGTTGAAGATAATTTTATTTTTGTTTGCATCTGAACAACCGGAAGAAATAGACGGTGATCAGCAGCATATTCCTAAAGCCTATAAAAGGGGTGAAGTGTGGTTCCGCATGGGTGTATCTTGACAAGTGACATTATGTCTGATTTTTTACATTATATGTATAGTTTTTTGTGACATTACGTAGATTTTTCTGCAAGAGCTAGCTATTGTTCACTTGGTGTGCACTAGTTCTGTAGCTGTACGTCTCGCCTAAACATCATGTTGCTTCAGCTATCAATCTTTGGCTTTTATGTGATGTAACGTCAGAGATGGTATTTTTTGAGGTACATGCTGTAAGTTGTATACTATAGCTGGAAGGAAACGGCAGTGCATAGATGCATTGGTTTCTTGTCTCAAATACACTTATTTGAGATGTATGCAAAGCTACATATTAGTTGCGCATCCACTTTTCTTGTTCATCCTCGAAATTACATCTGCAAATTTGCTGAAATTCAAAAATGAGAGACATAAAAAAAGAAAAGCCCCGCCTGGTGAAGGATATTACAACTAACAGGTGAAAAAATAGGCTACAGACAGGAATATTTATGAAACGTAAAAAGGTTGTTGCATTTTACATTATTTTTTATGTCCAGTCGTTTAAATTTCATAGCAATTTATTTTGCGATGTCAACTAGAAAATACAAATCAGCTCCTAGATGTGAGGCACTGCGAAAATGTTTTGTATGTGATGTGGCTTAATTACACACAACGCGGGTGCGGTGGTGATTTCCAGTAAAGCTCCTACATGTTTTTGAAAACGCAAAACACCGGGTACAATTGTAATTTATAACTTTGAACGTAACCTCTCTTCAGAAAAGACAGCACAGATAACCCGTCTGGTACAGCTAATATACAGGGTGGCGCATCAAAAACGAAACAGACGCATTTACTGGCAGCTCAGTTTTTTTTTGAAAAACGCTCAGACCAGTCGGTTTTGTTTTAGAGGGTGACACAAGTTTGGCAAAAAATCACGTTAACACGTGCAGCCTCCTGGGCGGGGGTGACACCAACCCTGAAATCTTAAATGGAAAGGGGGGTCGAGTGATACCTTATTTTAAAGGTCTTTCAATTCCCTTTATAATGATGTAAAATACATTAGCTTCAGTTCAGTAGTTTTGAAGATTTATTGATTCAAAGCTTAAAGTAGACTTTAATAGGTACATCAGATTAGTTTTTACTACTTTCAGAAGAAATTTGACTAAAAGAATTTACTTAATAAGTAATTGCTTTTGTTCACTACGTCCATGGTTTGTTAATCATTTTGTTATTGTAAATAGCTATTGGAGCGTTTTTTTGTGGCAAAAAAGTTATTTCTTGAAGAAAGATAAGGAAATATCTCGTACTTATTTTAAATAGGAATTTAGTACATAGTTTGTGATTGATTTGACCAAACTTTGTAAAATAACTTGTACGCTTTATTACATAAATTAACCATGGTATATTTCACAGCAGAAAGAGTTGAAATTATCGAAATATTTTTCGGAAATAATCAGTGCGCTAATAGAACAGCAGAAATATTTATATATATATATATATATATATTTTTCTATTCAACACTTGTTTTTCCGACGAATGTTCCTTTTTCTTAAATGGCGTAGTAAATCGTCATAACTGCCGTTATTGATCCGATTCTAATCCCAGAATTTATCATGAGGTTCATACACAGCAGCCACAAAAATTAAATGTTTGGGCTGGTATTTTTGGCGATCATTTAGTTGGTCCTTTTTTCTTACCTGAAAATTTGACCGGTGAAATGTATTTGGAATTACTGGAAGACGCCATAGATCCTGCATTAACAGCCATAATTGAAAATCAGAATGATCGGCGGTACACTGCGAATGGGTTGATGTTCCAACAGGATGGTGCCCCACCACATTACGCATTACGTGTTCGACAATATTTAGATCAGACGTTTCCAGATCGATGGATTGGTAGAAGAGGTGCGATTGAGTGGCCCCCAAGATCGCCAGATTTATCACGTTTGGATTTCTTTATGTGGGGTTATTTAAACAGCAAAATCTATGCTACTCAGCCAACATCATTAGAAGACCTGCGACAAAGAATTGTGAATGAGTGCCTTCAAATTACTCCTCAAATATTGCAAAATGTGCGGCAACGTTTTGAGCAGAATCTTTATTATTGCATGGAGAGTCATGGTGGCCATTTTCAACATTTACTTGCCTAACGGGTCAGTTCATTCTTCATTTTTCAATTACTTTGCTGCCAAATGTATTGATCTCCACTAATGATGATGCATTAGTTTTATTTATTATTTAAGCTTTAAATCAATAAATCTTCAAAATCACTGAACTGAAGTACATTAATTTTATATCATTATAAAGGGAATTGAAAGACCTTTAAGATAAGGTATCACTTGACCCCCCTTTCCAATTAAGATTTTGGGGGTGGTGTCACCCCCACTTAGGGGGCTGCACGTGCTAACGTGATTTTTTGCTAAACTTGTGTCCCCTTCGAAAAAAAAATCGACGGGTCTGAGCGTTTTTCCAAAAAAAACTGAGCTGCCAGTAAATGCGTCTGTTTCGTTTTCGATGCGCCACCCTGTATATACTTCACGGGCCGCACATAAGTACTAATTTCACATAGCAAATATCACTGATTTTGTACGCATGTAGATCAGTACACATAATTACCATACAATCACCACATGCGCAGCGCCGTCTTAACGCAGGGGCTCGCGGGGCCCGGGCCCAGGGCCCCGTCATGATGGGGGCCCCCCAAAAGCCAAATGCAACAACTGTTGTGTCTTGTCAAGAAAATGGAAAAGCTGGAGACCATTCTCCTAACAGAAATATGGTACGAAATTTCGAGAATCATGAATGAAACAATCATAAGCTTACAAAAGAGTGATTCAACCATGGACGTAATAGCAAAACTGTTTTTAAGTCTATCCGACTGCATCTCTAATATGCGAGGCAGTTTCGATCAATATGAATCCCACGTCAGGAAAAAGCATCCAGGTGCAGAGTGCAAAGATGCCTTTCAAAGGAAAAGAGGATCACTTTTCGAGGGGCCATCAGAGGATATGCAACTGAATGTAAAAGAAAATTCCGACTTGATACATTTCTTCCCATAGTTGACACGTTGAAAGTTCAGTTAAAGCAACGTTCGGAGTCGTAAAAGGAAATTAACAAAAAAGTTAGGAATTTTCAAAAATACAGCATGAAGATATCAGTGAAGCTGAACTGACATCAGAATGTTCACATTTGGGACATTATCCGCTGACCTTGAAAAATGAATCGTCTGAAAGTATTCCGGCATTGCATAGCCTCTTGAGAAGGAACAAACTGGAGGGAACATTCCCAAATGTGGAAATTGCAACAAGAATTTTCCTGTGTCTAATGGTCACTAACTTCAGCGGAGAGCAGTCTTTTTTAAAGTTGAAGAGAACAAAAAATGAATCAAGAACGTCCATGTCACAACAAGTTTGTCCCTTATGTGTATAGAGAGTGACATTTTGCAGCAACTGGAGTTTGACGTCATCATTGAAGATTTTGCCGAAATGAAATCACGGAAAAAGCCAATAATATTGATGTAAGGCAATTTTTAATTCAATAAATATGTTTTATTAGAAGTACGCCTGTATTCGTTTTTTTTTGGGGGGGGGCGGCCAAGCTCCTGTAGGCCCAGGGCCCCCACTTGGCTCAAGACGGCCCTGCACATGCGCTCTTGCTACTCAATCAATTTTCTTCATCTTCTCAGAGACTATCTCGGCATTCTGCAGCCAACAAAGCATGCTGGGGAACTGACTTCAAACATGGTCATTGAGCGTATAGTGTCGCTGTGTCATTCCTCCATAGATGATGCTTTTCGTGACGCTCACAGCACTCATAGCGAGAAAACGCGGGAGGAACTTTTTCCACTAGCCAGCATTTTTTTGACATTATATAGCTTTTTTAAATAATAACCCTCCTGGATCCTCAAACAGTACCAGAAATTCTGGTCATATAACGGGCGCACTCGTAAATTTCTAGGTAAAATTATTACATTGTTATAACTATATCCTCCTCTTAGAACTTGAATTATACAGGGTGACCCACGTAGAATTGCAGCGATTGAATGCACAAAAAGCTTTAACAATTTAGCTAGAATATTTTCAAAATGGTGGCACCTTCGCTTGTACCAGAAGTAAATACCAACCTGCTTGTTTTAATGAGGAAGCCCTATATACATGTATAATTCAATTTTTCGATTCTACTTGACTCTAAATACACCTTACATAAATTTAACAGTTTTTGAGATACATCAAATTTTGCGTAAAAACCAACGGAAAAAACGTTTTTTCTCGTATTTTTGTCTTTGCCATATGATTTGTAACAGGTTTCTTATAGTGGGGTGCTCTAATAGATTTTATTCCGGATTTGGAAAGCAAATAGTACAGGGCGTACAAAAAACTAAAATTGTATTTTAAAAAACCTAATATCAATTTAAAAAAAACACATTTTTACATCCCACGCCTACTGGCGTATTGTAATCTAGAAAATTTTCGAAAATGATGTTGTTTGTGTCCGTCTCACTCGTTTCCATCGGTCTGTCTGTCGATATGTCCGCCAATCTTATAACCGCCTATAACTTGAGAAGTACTGCTTTCAATGAAATTGTTACACAATGTTAACTAACTAGTATGTCAACGACGCAAAGCTTTGTAGTTTTTGAAAATCGGTCCACCTGCGTCAGAGAGAAAGGCCAAAATAAAAAAAAAACTCGAAATTTCTTCTTTTGACGTCTCAGAGGATCCTTATCATTTTTGAAGAAAGCCTTAGAAGTATAAAAAACTGATAGTGCACATCCACCTAAATGTAGAATATATAATGCGTTAGTAGCCAGGAAGCCAGATATCAGGTATTATAATTATTCTAATGAAAACAGTTTCATCACTTCATGGTCAACTGCAAGTTCTAGTACGAAGTGTATTAGTCATCTCGTCAGCTGTGCATTTTCAAAGCTCAGATTTCGTTTTCCAATCGCTGATTGCTAGATACCGCAAAGCCTCATACTTTTTAAAAGGAATCGACCATGTAACGCGATACTTAAGCAAATATGCCTAGCCGCTTTTACGATAAGATAACAAAACATTCAGTCCGCTATTGCACCCAGTATGACAAAAGATAGGTTAGGTGAGCTCTTAAAGGTAATTGGTTTGGTTGATATTCAATCGAATCCAATGAAAACTCACTGTGTTTTTTTCAGGCGCAGAAGACCAGTAAGAAGGATGTCGAGCTTGACGTTGAACAAGTAAGTTTTTAGCGGGATATAAGTAGAGAAAAGAGACAACGCCTTATAAACCTACCTTTTCCAGGAAAATAACAATGAGGGAGGGAAAAGTGACTTGAAAAAGACGTTTGAAAGGGCTGAAGTGATAAGCCAATGGTTGCAGGGCATTGAAAAAAACGTTGAAGCTATCAAAGAATACGAAAGTAGGATCAATGACCTTATGTATAATCAAACAGGTATGGTACTCGTTTGTGTTTATTTACGATACGTAATATCAAGCGTGGAAATAGCCTTGGCGGTAGAGCGTGAAAATCTGGTGGTTTTACCTTTGGGTGGAAAAACATTTTCCGTTTCAAAATGACCTATAATAGACTGAGAAATATAACAAACTGTTTGAGGGAGATTGTAAATGGACAAATCATTTGCTGGAAACATGTAATTTTTTCCCAAGTAGTCTATTAATGGCTCCAATAAATAATAATTGTAGAAAAAGGTTGATCAATCAATGTATTTATTTCCATTGCATTGTCAGCAATATATATATATATATATATATATATATATATATATTTTATATTTTTTCAAATCACATTAAGGTAATTCTATTTTCTTATCATGCAACTACAATACGTTCTCAAAAAAATAACCAGCCGACAATCGTAGAACTTCTCTTAGCTGTAGAATATACTTTTAATAAAAAAATATTTTTTTTTTAAAAACCTGCAATAAAAACAAAAATCTAACATTTTAATTTGATATTTATTGTGCTTTTATAACGCGTCAGAGCACATATTATTCACAAGGGAGGTCAGAGTCATCCCCGATAGCATTAAATATTATTAAAAAATGTTTGATAAATATTTGTAGCGATAGATTTTTTAATATTTAATAAATATATTTCTTATATACATATTTATAAAATATTCATTATAGATGTTTGTAGTATGTATATAGAATTCATATATTTTTGCGATATTTTTCCCAAATATTTAGCAAATATATGAGGAAAGATTTTTAAATATCATTTTTATATTTTGATGAAATATCTAATATTTTTTGTAAATATGGATGGATTTTCAAGCATTAATCCGATACATATTTTCAGTGTAGGTAGAAAATTCTTCATCGGGTTTATAAAGAAAATTCATTCTAGATATAATGCTTTAATTTGCTAGAAAAATGTTATCAAAAAAAAATTCTAAGCCTCTTCTGCATCTTGCAAGTCCACTCCTCTGAAAAAAACAAACTTACTAATTATGAAGTATTATTGAATACATTACTCCGAGTAGCTCAACTGGGTCACTGAAAAGTAGCTCTTTAATGCACCTAAAAGGACCCCACATGTTATGCCTATGATAGATCAAGATTTGTTTAATTTTTAAGAAAATTTAGTACGTGATTTTAGATATCTTGATGAAAATGTCCATGGGCACAACTTGATGCTTTGACTAACACTTATTGATTTTGTTGAAATGTGACTTTTTTTAGTAGTACACTTCAAGGCTAGTTATTTATGGTCTTATGAATACCTTTATACTTAACTGGCCCAATAATGTTTACTAGTCAGATAAATTCAGCTATATAATTATCGAAAAACTTACCCTTTTCCCTTTTTCACAAAAAAAAAACACTTAAATAATGAACCACTTGGAGATATACAGGAAGCACGCTATCATAGTGAAAGTTACAGGTTAAGTGGCTGCCGGCAAATCGTCTCAGGCCGACTTGCTATTATCCCATTGGTCGCTCGAGGTCACACGCACATGCGCCGTAGCCGAAAATACTCAATGAATATTTTCTAAATATTGGAGATTTAATATTTTCCATTGATTTAACAGTAAATATTTAGTGAATATTATAAAAGAAATATTGTATTAAAAATATTTAAAATATATTGAATAAATATTTAATAAAGATATTATATTACAAATATTTATTAAATATTTGTTTAAGAAAACGAATATTTAAGTTAGATAAAAATATTATTAAATATTAAATGTGTATTTAATGAATATTTGGTGCTATCGCGGATGTGAATAGAAGCAAATTGTCTGACTTTTAGCGGTTTTTGGTCAATATGTGAGTATTTTGAAACTAAAAAAGATGCCTTGACGATAAAATAACCTGATGAAAAAGATAAAAAACGTTTTCAACCCTATGTTTTGCAAATAAAAAATTGAAGCCAAACATTTTTTCCTGACACTACCCTTATTCTCATTCAGTAACCCTCTTCATACGTTTTAAGCAGATAATTTTTCCACTTACAAATTCCCCTGAACTACAGCTCGATTTACGATAGATTGGCTGCCAGAATGAATGTCAATTGTGACATTTAGTATGAAGAGATTAGCTTAAATTATGTAAAATAGAAAAAATATCGAAAATGCATTTCACGTTCAAAAGTTGCTCAAAATTATCTCCTATCGACAGCTATCTAAAGTTTTGAAGCTTATTTGGTAGACTGAATTACAGAAGAAAGGCAATCTGGAGAAAACTTTTTGAACTTTGTCAAAAAATTAGAAACATATATTTTCCAACATAATGCCTCATGGAATCACCAATATTTTATACATTATCATCATCACCATTATACAGGGTGTTTCAGATTCGACCGTCACCATTGGGAACTCGGAAACTGTAAGAGATACAAAGTCGCTCAAATGCGAGCGATGCTGCGAATTTAGGTAATCAACAAAATGCCGCTTAAAAAGTTTCAAAATTCAAAGTGCTTCCGGAGAGAGACGGAATAAACCGAATTCTCTCAAAATAGTTTTAATTTTTTCCTCACTTTACTTGTAGTGGGATTTCAAAATAAATTGCACATTGACACTGCCACCTTTTCTCCTCTACAAGACGGCATAATTAGATTTTCATTATGACGTTTCATCTCTGGTTCTCCACCATTAACTTTATTTTTTCTTATGGATGCCATATTGGATTTATGCACAAATGATTAGAGTTTTTAATTCAGATTCCAAAAATATATAATACGTCATACATTCACGCCGCCAAACATTAGTTACTTCAAAAGAGCAAAAGTTCCTAGGTAGTCCTTATAATTCTCATATTTGCTTCGTATACCAGACCAGACCTCAAATTTAACATAACAACAGAGTTTGGAAGACTGAAAAGAAGAGAAATAAATCGAGCATCAGTGACCAATGTACAGAGAAGTCAGGCTTTGCCTACAAAATAACAGACAACATTTTGAACATCTGCTATGATTTACATCTGCTCACTTATGATTATTGTGGTTACTGCCATCAATAAAATTTTCATTTTGTGTTCAGGTTTCATACCTTTTTATTTCCTTATAATTTTTATCCAACAACAAATTCATGGCCAACTAAGGGAATGCGTCACTGAATTTAGGACTGAAAAGTCCATTGAAATTTAGAAAATTCCAATATAGCGTCCATATGAAAAAACACAGTCGATGATAGAAGTCAACAGAAGAAATGTCGAATTGAAAATTTGACTATGCCATTTTGTAGAGAAGAATAAGAGACAATGTCAACATACAGTTTATTTTCAAATTCCTCCACGAAGAAATAAACGTGCTTTTAGGATAAATATAGTATGCAAGACAAATGACTTTCTGATAATTTCAAGGCCTACCTATTAATTCTGCTATTTCAGAAATAACTAAAGTTTGACAATTTCATTGTAAGTCGTATTTACGTTTTTGGAATGAGAACTAAAAACTCTATTCATCTGTGGAAAAATCCAATACAGGCGTCCATAAGAAAAAATCAATTTAATGCTGGATGACAAGTGACGAATCGTCATATTGAAAATGTAATTATGCCATCTTGTAGAGGAGAAAAGGTGGAAATGTTAATATCCAATACAAAGAAAGTTGGAAAAAAATGAAAAAGGTTTTGGGAAAATTCGTCTCTCTCCAAAAACCTTGAATTTCGAAACTTTCTAAGCGGCATTTTGTTAATTACTTGAATACGCAACTTTGCTCCCAACGACTTGGATTCTCTTACAGTTTCCGAGATCCCAATGGAGATGGTCGATTTTGAAATACCCTTTATATAGAAGATAAAAGACAGATGAAAATGTGTACTTCAACCAAGTAATATTTGGCCTAATTTCAGTTGATAAACCAACTGAATAATTGTTCAAACAAATGAAAAATTACGAACAATGCTGCCCGTTTAAAAACTCATATGTAGAACGATATTTAATGACGTTTCGGCCACCATCTCGATCGTTTTTTTCAAAGTACAAATGTAATAAATCAACGAAGTGATCGAAAAATTCTCGAAATTTTCACAGAGCTATAGAGCTAAAAAAGGACACCTTCAATTTTTATGCGAAGTTTGGAAATCCTTAAACTGTTTTCGTATGGATTGGATTAGATGTAGAAAATATATTTTTCTTCATGCGCCTTAAAAGTAGTCGGTTACTTATAGTTACTTACTGTCTTTACAGACCTCAACGAGAAAATCGACACCTTATTCCAAAACAACACCAGCATCTGCCACAAAATCAATGGAAAACTGAAGGAAATTGATGAGGAGTTAAAACAAACTGCTGAAGACTCTGCAGAGGGCAGAATCAAAGCAATACAGTACAACACCCTCAAAACACGATACATAGAAACTTTCAAAAGCAACAACAATGCATTGGAAAATTATAGAAACGTACAAAAGGCAAACTTGGATGCCCAACTCAGAGCCAAAGGGATTCGAATGACAGATGAGGAACTTGTGCATTTATTGGAGGAGAACACTGACATGCAACTGTTTACTGACAACGTAAGGCTGATTTTACTTCCCACACTCACTGACGCGAAAAATTTCGAAAATAAGACATACCTGTACTCTTTTTGGATCTTATATGACATGTACATCACAAAAAACCATGTCACTCATTTCCATCGGTCTGACTGTCTGTCCGCTAATATTTAGGCCCCCTATAACTTGTATACTAAGTGACATATAAATCCGAACACCCAGTTTAAATGGTTTTATTTTAATAAAAGTTGGTGGATGTATTTATCTTACTGTAAATAACAAGTGAAAAAATTTTCAGCCTTATCAGTTGGACATCCCGGTTTTTATACTGCTTTTTTTTAATTCACTAACGCTCTAAAAATGAATATTTCAGCCGCAGTAAAGAATCAACGTTGGCGGATTTTGGTTCTTGACATCCTTTACGATCGGTTACGATGCCTAGAGTACGGAGACCTGTACGATTTCGTCAACTTAGTGAGTTTGATAGGGGCCGTTCTTTTCGGGCAATTGCAGTTAGAGTGCAAAGAAGTGTAGACACTGTGGTTAGGTGTTGTCAGGCATGGCTTCGAGAAGGCCGTACGCAAAGAGCAAGGGGCACTGGACGCCGCCGTAGAACAACAGACCGTGAAGATCGCCGCCTAAGATTATTGGCCTTAAGGGACCGTTTCTCCACTACCAGGTCCATTGCAAATGAATGGTTTGCAGAACACGGAAGACCTATTGGCATGCGAAGTGTTTACCGACGAATGAGAAGTTTTGGCTTGTTTTCATACCGGCCACACTGGGTCCTCCCTTTAACTCGAGAACACCGACGTAATCGCCTTGAGTGGTGCAGACAACGGTCACTCTGGGATCAGGAATGGAACAGTATTGTCTTTAGTGACGAGTCTCGATGTTGTTTAGGCATGCACGATGGTCGTGCCAGGGTTAGAAGGCGACGTGGTGAAAAGAGGAATCCACAGTTTTTTGTTGAAAGACATGTTCATCACACTGTTGGAGTTATCGTTTGGAGTGCTATAGCTTATGGTTCCAGGTCACCTTTAATCTTCATCAGAGGTAACATGAACGCGCAGCGTTATATCCACGAAGTTCTAGAACCCCATCTTTTACCCTATCTTGACACCCTGGCAGATCCAACTTTCCAACAAGATAATGCCCGACCACATGTTGCAAGAGTCACAATAGACTTCTTTCAACATAATGATGTCACATTGTTACCATGGCCACCAAGATCTCCCGATATGATGGGTAGGAGATTGCTCAATTTGCAACGTCCTCCTCAGACTCTAGAAGCACTTCGAGAGAAGTTGGTGGTTGCCTGGAATGAGATACCACAGGAGGACATTGACCACCTGATCAGAAGCATGCCTAGGCGCGTTGGAGAATGCGTAGCACATCAGGGTGCATCCACACATTATTAAAGGTCAAAGGGCTTTAAAGCAGTGCAATCATTTTGAATTTTTTATCATTTACTTATTATGCTTCATTATGTACTTATACAAAATTTTATTAAAATAAAACCATTTAAACTGGGTGTTCTGATTTATATGTCACTTAGTATAAATACCCATGGGATTTGGATGAAATTTTTAGACAAGGTTACTACTAGGCAACGGACCAAAAATGTTTGTAGTTTTTAAAATTAGGTCTCGTGGCAGCAATAAAAAAGACAGGACGGAAAAGAAAAAAGTAGATGTGAGAAACAGCTGTGAAAAAATCTCTTAGATGACGCTATTTTATCTTGGATGCTTTTTTGGCGCGCAAATATAGTTTGGCTATCTTCAGGTAGAATGCGTTGATAAATGCTTTTCAGATAATTGCAGATACCATAGAAGCAAAAAGACAATTAAGGGATATCGAAGAAAGACATCAACAATTATTGAAGATCGAACGGATGTTGATGGAGATTCGAGATTTATTCTTGCAAATGGCCATACTGGTTGATACTCAGGTACTCGAAAAATAAAGATAGTGTGTTTATCTATTTATCTATCTGTGATTATTTATTATTATATTCATACATGTATTTGTTGCAGCAAGAGCTAATTGATAGAGTAGAATACCAAGCACAGGCTGCGCGGGATTTCGTTGCAAAGACACCGAAAATCTTACAGGACGCTAGCAAAAAGAAAAGGAATTATTTGAAGGTGAGATTTGCTATATAAGTTATTTTAAATAATTGTTTTATTGCCGTTTATATTTTTTACAGTGTAAAATATACATGGGGATTACAATACTTATACTAGTGGTGATACTTTTGATAATGCTGCTGAAGTGATTTTTGTTATTATAGGACTTATATTTTGTAACTAATTTATTGAATAAACAATACCTGAGACGGATTATCTTTTAACATCCAGCAAACTAACTTATTTATTACTTCTCTGAATAGAGCCTTAAGGTTTTGTGTCTTATGAAGTTTTGCCAGATTATTATATACAATGTGTTTGGTCACTACGTACCGATATTTGAGGGGGGTATTTTTCAGCTATTTTTATCGACAAATCCACCCCCTACAATGTCCTACCTCACCCCTCTTGAAATGCCATCCATTTTTATTTTTACGTTACGATTACGCTAGTGTATCTAAGAAAATTGTAATAACAGAATGATAAATTTGGTGTCATTTGAACGATAACATATTGCCCTATCGATTGTTGAAAAACTTGTATTGATACTAACCGTCAAACATACTTAAATACAGACAAAAACAGAAAAAAAGTATGCAAGAAAATTGATTATTTTGTGCATTTCCGCACACCATTCAAAAACTAGTATGGGAAGTTGTGCTTTTTTGTGCCAATTCTATAGCTAAGTATGTCATCTACAGAATGAGACCAAATTTGTTATCCTGTCTTCTACGTTAAGTAATAGATGCTATCTATCATTGGTTAAAATGGGTGTACCTAATAAAATGCAAATTGCTTTCAAACTTTTTATACAAAAAAAATGACAAATCAATGTTTCTCATGAAGAGTTTGGACATGTTCAATGTTACAGAAGCTGTTCAGAATGTCGTCCATTGTTGGTTATGCACATTGTTGCTCTTAAAACCATGTGTCGTGTTGAGCGGCGGACTATATCCGTGTCAGCTGTAATTCCGTTCGCAGCGGTATGGATCCTTTCCACGAGTTATTTCCATGTCGCCGACACATGACAGTAAACTTTTTGCTTCATTGTGCCCCAGAGAAAATAATCTAGGGGCATTAAATGAGGTGATCGGGTGGCCAAGCGACAGTGCTTCCACGACCTGTCCATGGGGAATGTTGCCCATCCAAATGTTCTCGTACAATTCGCGCAAAGTGTGCGGGAGCTCCGTCAAGCTGCAACCTCATGTTGAAGCGGTTGATAAGTGACAGATCATGGAGTAGATCTGCAAACTCGGTCCTCAAGAACTCCAAATATCTCTGAAAATTTATTACGTGCACGATTTGGCATGATAGAGACTTAGGCGTGACTAATAAAATGTTCAGTCACAAATCACTTCCAACTCAAATACGTTCAGAAAATTGATGTTGAAACTAGTCAGCGATGGTAAAAAAATGCACGTATGATCACAACGCTTGGCGAGGGACTACAAACCACCCACTTCTCACTATGACATTGACAACAAATAACCATATGTTACCATCTCGATAACGAGACCTTTCGGTAGATGTTGTCTCACTCATACTCTCAATACATTCATCTCTATACCAGGAATGATTAATTCGGTACGCTACCTGAATTGGGGAGGCTTGCCAAGGGTCATGTTTAAGCAATATTTGTACTTAAACTAACTAACATAGGGCAAAAAGTTTGGTGTCATGTTGTAGATAACATAGTTAGCTGTAGAATTAGCACAAAAAAGTACAACTTCACAGACTAGTTATTGAATGGTGCGCGGAAATGCACAAAATAATCAATTTTCACGCAGGTTTTTTTCTGCTTTTGTCTGTTTTTCAGTAGGTAGGTATGTTTGACGGTTAGTATCAATACAAGTTTTCAATAATCGCTAGGACATGTTATCGTTCAAATTACACCAAATTTATCATTCTGTGACACTTATGTACTCAGTTATTACAATTTTTTTACATGCACTAGCGTAATCGTAACGTAAAAATAAAAAGGGCTGCCATTTCAAGGGTGATGAGGTAGGATATTGTAGTGGGGTGGATCTGTCGATAAAAATAGCTGAAAAATACAGCCCTTAAATATCGGTATGTGGTGACGAAACACATTATATGTATATATATATATATATGATTCATAGTTATTGTTGAAATAACCAGTTAAATGGAAGACCTTTTCTTTGGGATATCGACAAATTATGCTAAGTGTACCCTTTGACTTACAATACTCAAGCTTTCGAAAGACTATTCTGCCATCATCAGGAGCTAAAAACAAATTAACAATAGTAAAACAGCAACCATGCTCGATTGATTAGAAATCATTTAACTTATTCCGTCAGTGAGAATGGTGCTAATATTCGATGTTCAAAAATATAAAAGAGGACATAAGGTGAGGTGATCAAAAAAAAAATATATATATATTTAAATAAAGAGAAAATGATAATGCGGAGAAAGGTATATAACAAAAAATAGGAAAATAGTGGACTTAGGCCCGTATCGTCACTCGTTCCTACAATTGTAGGGCGCCTGTATGGCCTCCTTGATTGTTATAGTTTTATACTTCTCCGTGTCAGCGCTCTATTTTGAGGTTATGTCACAAACATCTATTTGCATCAAATTGTGCTTGCTTTTGAGTTATATCATGTTTTATCAGCCTGAAATTTCCTACAATTTAAAAAGAGAACATACCTTCACAATAGGAGAGCGCTGACGCTGACACAGGACAAGTGTAATCTAGAAATTTTTGAAGGAGAGAAAGGAGTATGACAATCAAGGAGGTCATAAACGCGCCCTAAAATTGTAGGGACGACTGACGATACGGGCCTTAATCCGTAAAAATAAGGAAAGTGGATTCGAGCACAAAAGTAGATACACATGCCCACACATCCAGATACGGGTGTAACCTGAGGAAACGCAGATGGAGAGGGGAAAGAATGACACACAAAGTCCCCAACAAGAGCCAACCTGCACATTGTAGTATAAAATGGCTAGAAGACCTCGAATCTTCAAGGCGACATCTAACCACGCGACCGGTTATAGCCACTTGCTGTGGTCCTTCAAGCCTAAAGGATCTACAAAGAGAAAATGATCACGCTCAGGTTACCTATCAAATTTTCTGCTCGAATCCACTTTCCATTTTTGCGGATTTGCCCATTATTATCCTATTTTTGTTGTATACCCTTCTCCACATGATTATTTTCTCTTTATACATATATTAAGTAAGTTGAAAAGTGACACTATGTACGTTTTTTATGAGATTATGTAGGTTTTCCCACTAGACAAACTTGGAACTAGCTGTTGCTTAGTCAACAATTTTACAGTTTATCGTTTTTTACATTATATACTCGTAGGTTTTTTACGTAATAACCTTGCTGTAATGCATTTGATGAACGTGAATTATCTTTGTGAGAATGAGTATACGGATTTATAGATAACAGCAAGGGAATATCTATGTTTCCCTAAATTAACGTAAGCGCCATCTGCTATTATGAAGATTGAATCTCATTTATACTTGAGTGTCAACACCGACTCTCAGTCCCTCAGTTTGCTTGGAGTGATGAAAGACCTTGAACTTGCTGTCTAGCTGATTAAGTTTATATCCATAACGATATATCCGATCGGTCTCACAAATCTGACTGGGGTGTCTCAGAAATTATTTCAAACCAGAAACATTCGTCCTGTGTCCTTTCATAGTTTTCTACTGTTCCGTGTCAGACCTCTATTTTGAGGTTATGTTACAGATACCTATTTGCATCAAATTATTCATGCTTTTGATTTATATCATCTATTAGATTAGCCTGAAATTTCCTACAATTAAAAAGAAAACATAGCCTCACAATAGAAGAGCGCTGACGCTGATACGGAACAGTAAAAATCTAGAAATTTCGCAGCATTTTTGAAGGAGAGAAAATACTATGAAAATCAAGGAGGCCAAAAAGGCGTTCTACAATTATTGTAGGAACGACTGACGATAGGACCACCTCATTTACTCCGCGTAAAAACAAACAAAAGCACTCTCGATTCTGGATTGCTCCTTCTATTCGCTTGTCTCTGCCGTCTGCCAGCCCAGGCACTTATGGTCCATCGACCAATAACATTATCGCGCGTATTTGAGCATCACGCGCTGATGTTTGTTTTGTCGGAGGGTTAAAAACGGTCTTCTATTCATCATTGTCTGTCAGAGCGGTCCGTAGGACCTTTGCTCTTCGTTAAAATATTATAAAGTAAGGGAGAAATAAGAAAAGGAGAAAGAAAGGAAGGCTGGAGGGGGGGGGGGGTGAAGAAGAAAGGAGTGCGTCAATTTGAGAAATGCCTTGGCATTGCTAACTAGTATTCGGTATTTTAAATTGATGCTAAAATTAACTTAGACATTGATTGTTGGAGGAAAATTATAAATTTAGTTCACGATTTAATTTTGTTCACAGCGCGAGTTGCGGCCTGCTTCTCGCGAACTTGTTGGGCTGTGTAGTCTACTGACTCGCGCAACAAAATGTTACCATGCGATTCCGCTTGACCAGTAAATACGGTTTCAATACATTTTGGGTAAATGTATTTTGAAATAGGATTTTTCTTTTCCGCAGATTGCTGTTTGTAAGTCCGTTATCTTGATTTTCCTTTTAAGTCTACCGGCAGACGATGTCGAGATGATACGAGATGGGTTTTTTATTTCCTCAAAGAGGGTGAAATATAACGTAACGTGCAACGTTCGTCATCATTGTTCGTGCAGAAGTTTCGTTAAGTTCGGTCTAGTCTAGACTTATTACAGACTGTGTTTCGAAAATTAAGAAGCTATTTTGTCCTTGTCAGACGTTTTATATAGTAAGTAATCTCGTAAATAATATGTTGTACAAAATTGAATTTCAAACATATCTCACTTTTGAAACTTTCTGCCACTATTAGTATAATATACTTTTCTCGCTACAAGTCAATTGATGTTATTGTTATCAACAGTAACTAAAATAAAATCCCCTGTCGTCAGAAGTGGAATACCAAGACCACTGATTAGATTATCTAGGACACACTAACGAAAATATAATATTTAAAAATCGAACCTGTAAGAATTTCTGATTATCTTTGTCTAATATACATATGGGCCGCTAATTTGGACAAACATTATTTACCTTGACTAATTTTTCAAGGAGATCAACAGTCTCTTCCCTGTCTCCCTTCCTACTGATACCACTGAGAATATCCCTCCTACATGGCAATTCAAAATCTTGGCAGAATACTTAATCCACTTGAGAAGTACCTGGTGGGTCCACAAATATATTGGTTTAGATAAACCCTGTTTTCACAGCTTGAGAGTCAATAAAAGAGAACAGCTCATACCACTTGAACAAAGTAGGGGTTCATTTATAAGTAGGTGTCATAAATATATCAGGATAAGCGATTTATTCCATCCAGATGTGTTTGGTAGCCCTTGGGTAAAAAGCCAGAGTCTCTAGTAATTATGTCTAGATATTATGTAGATTGTACGTGTTTGGCAGACCACATACCCATCTCGTTCAGCTCAAGGTGAGTTATTTGAACTGTTTGTATTTTATACTATATATATATCATCAAGATCGTAGGTATAGGTCTAATCGTATAATATAGTTACATGTATCTATATATCTATATATATTCAGACGAAGGAGCTAGAGCTGGGGAATGTAAAATTGTAGGATACACATTTCCATATTCTGCTAAAATAAAACCGAGTGATTTTTTTTCTTTAAACACATGGGCAACGTTTTGTGAGGCGTTAAACATAAGCGATACTGTGTTATGAAAGACAATACCAAAATTATCAATCAGACATATCAGGACGTCCTTGATTTTTATTAAAGCTATTTGTTAGTTTTCGGTTTAACCTTAATCTAACAGATTTTCCTTAGTCCTTTTTAAATAATCCGATTGAATTTGCCCTTAGGACGTCCCCAATAACAGTTTCTAGTTCTCTTGAGAGTTGTTGATTGTCGTTACTTCCAAGTATTCGTTACTAATTTCTTCTACAAAGTAATTATTTATTGTATTTGTTGCTTTGATTACTATGCATAAGCATAAAGATTTGGCTACGTGTGTAGTGTAATTAATCACAAATGTCGAATTTGAACAACTTCATTGAAAGACTCTATCATGCCTGAGTTTGGTAAATAAACAACCTTAAAATTTGCAAAAATGTTTTATCATTATTTATTTAAATCTGCCATGCTTAATACATACATCGTATCTTTAAATTTTGTGCAAAGCGAGATGGGTTATTATCGAGCAGGGTGACCCATATATGCCTAAAACTGAAAATACTTCATATTTAGTCGAAATGCTTCATCAGCAGTGATTAGAAAGTTGATCTGTATGTGGTTTGAGGAAATGACAATAACCTTTCGAAGCTATGGAAATTTCAATCAAGAACGTTCAAGTAAAAAACTCTCTACCACACATACCACCCGAATGTGGGATCACTGTGGGATGTTGGATGTCGGCAACCCTGATGCATAAGTGACAGTGCTACAGTGGTGCGTACGGATACGGAAAACCGAGTAATCGAAGTAATCATTTTGTGGTCGGATCGTTACTCGTTACTTCGATTATCAGAATAACGAGTACTCGAGTAACGAATAGTTACTTTTTCAACATCTCTCTTCTCCTTTGTTTTTAATATCATGGTTTCATCTTTCATATCGCTGATTCTCTCTTATACCCTCTCCAGACTCCCGCGCGGATCGCGCGCGAAGCCGCGAACTACCTGCGACCCATGAGTGTGGAACCCATTCGCGTATTCTTCGCGGCTTCACGTTGCGTTCGCGCGTCGTTCCCGTTTGCTGTCGGTTTATCGTCCCGCGACAAAGGGTTCGCAAGGCGCTAACATATTGCGAACATGACTAGGCTCCTCATTCGCTGGTGGCTCAGTTGCCTCATAGCGAGTGACGGCAGTGGTTGTGTTTTTCTTTATGGATACGAATTTTCGATTTGTCGTGAAAATGAGTTTTATCTGGAGTAACCAATTGGAACTATCATTTTTGGAATATTTTCGTGCTGAACCGGTACTGTGGGACACTAAGATAAAAGACTATAGGAATAAATTTAAAACTCATGATGCATGGATGCGGATAAGCTCAGTGATGGAAATCCCAGTGGATGAATTGAGAAAGAAAAAGATTCTTTAATGTCAAGTTATAGGAGTTATAAGAACAAAGTCAAAAAGTCTATTCAATCGGGAGCTGGTGCCGATGATATATATCAGCCTATTTGGTTCGCTTATGAAACTATGGATGAGTTTTTGGGAGGTACCCTCAAGTGTAAAAATAATGTTGACACGGTAAGTGAGCTATATGTTTTATTATTAAAGTACTTAAACATTACTTAGATATTTGGTGAATTCGTTTCTTATTTCTGTGGCATCTTTTGGTGATCGCCGAGCCACGTTCCTCAAGTTACGGATAGCACAAGTTTTTTCTTGTTCTTTCCTCCATGATCCAGGTTGTATAAGTACTGAATCATCATCATAAATGTCAATAAATCCGGGTGGTGTATAGATACACGAAGAAGTGGAGCTTCGTCTCAAGAAATTATGTAGTAATATACAAGTCATTGTTATAAGGGTAGCTTTTTCTGGTTGTAATGGAATCGGCTTTCTAAACACTCTAAATCAGGCAGTCATCATACCAAAAGTATTTTCCACCACCACTCGAGCTGAAGATAATCTCTTGTTAAATTCACGTTTTTCTGATCCTATGTTGTGCTGACCAAGATAGGGCTTCATTAAGTGTTCTGAAAGTGCAAAGGCTCCATCTCCCAAAAAAATGTAGGGAACATCAATATTTGAACCGGGCAAAGGATGCGGCGGTGGTAAATTGAGCTATTCGTGCATATCTTGTTCCATAACAAAGTATTGGTGAAAACTCCACCGTCACTTATTCTGCCTTGGCAGCCAATGTCAGCAAATATGAAGTTGTACTGACTATCAACTAATGCCAATAATACTATACTGTAGGTTCTTTTATAATTATAGTATTCAGAGCCACAATTGAACGGACAGTCGAGAACAATATGTTTGCCATCTATTGATCCTATTGCTCGAGGAAACTTCCTTGCAAATCCTTTCTCAATACAAAGCCATTCTTCCGGACAAGACGGTATCTGCAAAAAAGAAAACATAAAACCTTCGTCTGACACCACAAAGTGATAGAAACTCTTCAAAATATATATATATATATATATATATATATATATATATATATATATATATATATAACCTTCATGAAATTGTATGTTTTTTTTAGGAACGCGGGTTGGAGGAGACTCAAGGAGCAAATTCCGAACCAACTGAAGAGATACTTGAAGAGACGAATGAAAATCAAAGTCAGTCTATGGACACCCAAAGAGACGGCAATCAGACAATCCGCCGACGCCAAAACCCTTCGGAGCTGATTCATGCTGGAAATATTGTTAAAGATGCTCTTGCCACATTCAAATCCGCGCTAAACAGAAATGAATCATCAACCCATCTTAGCGATGATTGCGATTTATATGGCAAATTATTGGCAAATAAGTTGCGAAAGCTATCTGAAATTAATAGATTAAAGTTTATGCACGACATTGACGGCAAGTACCTACGATACCAATTGGAGGAGACGCCCTCCCTGCAAACTCCATCGCCAACATATCCCAGCATCGCCCACAACTTTAATGAATCAAGGCCTGGCACATCATCATCTACGTATTCAGAGCCTACCAATCGTTATGAGCAGGTGACTCAGCAAACTTATTGTCAAAATAGAAAAGCAGTATCAGCCCCACCTTCTAAGATTATGATTCAATCCAACCAGGTGATTCGCACACCTGATGTTGAATATCCTGTCCTCCATATTCCGAACCAAGTCACCGATAACCCAGAATCTAATCAGGCAATTAATATAATCCAAACAGCATTCGACTTGACTTAAATCACATGAAAAACATTGAATGTACGGCTAAATTTGCCCGTATCTTGATATCAATTTATATTTTTGATCTGATGTCAGATGCATATGTTATATTTATATTAGCCACTGGTATTCGGTACTCACATATTTTTAGATATAACCAGTCGTGTTAGATTTAAGATTATTGTATTACATACGTGTGTTTTCAATATACTTAAACAAATTTTCATTAAAAAAATATTTTCTTCGATACTTACTCTTATTTCATCCTTCAATGCCTGACATAGGGCTAGACACTTCTGGAATAATTTCTGATATTATTTGTGGTGATATTTTGAACAAAAAATGAAGGCTTTCATAGCTATCTCCTGTGGCTAAGTATCGCAATGTTATAGCAAGACGTATCTGGGCAGGAATAGCTTTTCTTAATTGGGTGTCTTGTTTTGAAATTTGGGATGAAATTTGATTTAGTAAGTATTCAAAATCATTTAACGACATCCGCGAAAACTTTTTGAATTCACCGGAAGGTTCAGCAACTAATTCATCTATTTGCTTCTCCATAACAGCACTGTAACAAAAAGCAAAGACTAAAAATAAGGTAGAGGTCAAGTTATCGAGTATTAGCCCTTGTAGTACATGATAAGTGAGTGCAGCATGAGCAGAATATTTCACTTTTCAAGCCTTCATCACAACTGTCATTTTATACAGCTAAAAGTGAAATACTTGTTTTTTAGTATCTGCGATGGCAGTAAATATAAGACACTGAGCTGCGTGCGACCATTATTATCTTGATATTAATTACCTGGTTCTATTTCGGTGGATGGTGGTGATCCACCATCTTCGTTTTCTCCACTTCTTCTTAATTGTTATTCTTTTACTTATATCGGCGTAATTATAAATTGCCAAAGCGCAAAGTAGCCCAGCAGCAGCAGTAGCAATTTCACCGTCCATACTCGTCTCAAGCGCGAACTATACTGTGAAGCAGGCGCGAACATCTGCGAGTGTGGAACTGTAGAACACTTTTCGGGTTTCGCACCGCGATTCGCGCCGCGATTTCACGCCGTGATCCGCGCGGGAGTGTGGAGAGGGTATTACACACACTCATCTGATGATATACATATATGTTCCATCTCGCTTTGCGCAAATTCATCCAATGATTACTCTCCATCAACCACCTGTCCTTTTCTCCGCCTCACTTCATCTTTGTTTTGTTCCTTCTCTTGCTCAACCGGTGAAAAGACTACTGCAACAGCAAACAGCACGAAAATCGCAAAATTCCCAGATTTTTTAGTAAGACTGTAAGGGTAAGCATTTTTGAATGTTATCGGAATTGTCAGTCTCTCAGTTTTCAAATTTTACAAACGACAAATCATGTAAATTTTGTTATTCGCTTGTAGTTTTGTCGCTTGGAATACGTATCGTCCTTGAAATACACGCCTGGTGGTTCCATTTCGCGGTTTTTTCTGCTGATCATTGTAATTTGGATATAATTATTGCAGATAATAGACGCCTAAACCATGGATGACAACTGGGATGATTCTGACTCTACAGTCACACCATCAGCGGTATGTATTTCCAATTTTTTTTTCTACTCCTAACCTAAAAAACAGTAACATTCTTTTGTACATAAAACTTCCTTTATTAATTTTCCATAGGAAGCGTTGTGTTGATATATGATGTGTTCATAGACTTTATAAAAGAATCCCTCATCTGGCAGTCAAACATGGGTTTCCAACTATAAAGGATAATCATAGCTTGTAGGCTCTTTTAAAGAACATTTCGTATTTTGTACTGGCTCATTCTTTAACATGGTTTAACACAACCATTTTTTTTTTGAAAATTTTGATGAAAAACAGACGATAATCATCAAAAAACTGCATCTATGAAATTGGTTTGGCCATAGTAAGTAGGGTACTGTCATGCTAAGCACAATGAGGATTGAGGATGCCTACTGCAATCTTTGTGCATTGTTGATTGGCACTTGATCATTTTCTCTACTTAATGGCAAAGTTTTTTTGGCTTTAACATGTCCTAAAATACTATATTTTTGTTTGACATATCTGCACAACTTGTCTGATCATATTAGAAAATTTCCCTGAAATAATTGTAATGTCTGGTTTTATTGGTGCAAGTTGTTCAAGGGGGTTCTTAAAGCATGGAGGCATAAAATGAGTACACCAATTTTTGTGGGAAAACTTTTTATTTGACAACAAAGAATAAGAAAACGTGTTTTTGGGATTCAGTCGAAAGTGTTGGCAGGAACAAAAAAACTTTCCATACGAGATTTTTAGGTATTTATGAGATCTACAAAATGAGACCACACGTAAAAAGAGCCGACTAATTGGAGAAATATTATGGCCGAAAAACGAGGCAAAATGCAGGTTTTGGCACTTTTTGCTAATGCGCGATAATTTCACGCAATTACAATAAGTACTTTTGTACTTTATTTGGTACATGCTAATAAATTCATTTCTCTACATTTGATTTCAAATCTACTGGCTAACTGCTGGATCAGAGCTCAACCAAACTTGTACTAACGCCAAGTAGTCTAATCTTTATTGCTGCAAGTTGTTCGAAAGGGTATTTGAAGCAAGGATGCATAAAATGGGTACACTAATTTTTGTGGGAAAAATTTTTATTCAACAACGAGAAAACTTGTTTTTTGGGAACCAATCGAAAGTTTTGGCAAGAATGAAAAAACTCTTCTTATAAGATTTTTCTGTATTTATGAGACCTACAAAACGAGACTACACGTAAAAAGATCCGACTATGAGCTAAAAAGTTATGGCCGAAAACTGAGGCATACTGCAGGTTTTGGCACTTGTGGGTAATGTGATGATTGTTTCTCGCAGATATTTGAAATTCCTCAAATATGTAGGATTCATACTTTTAAATAACAACAAAATTGGATTATATTGGTCAAGTAGTTTTTTGAGAATTTCTAATTGTTTATTCCAAAACACCTGTTTTCTAGTTTATTGAACAATATACAGTTCGTTCAAAGAGCATTTAATAGCAAAATACAGATGTTTACCTTGCCGATATGAATCACAAACTACTCCGAAAGATAAATGTTATTTTTATGTGAAAAACAGGTTACGTCTTTTTCTTCTATACAAATCAAACATTTCATATTTGTGAGTAATTGAACAAATGCGCTACCATATTAGAAAAACATGTCACTATACAATACAATATATTACAAATTGATGGCGGTATATACACTGGTATTATATATTACATTAAAATAAAACATGTATAGTTTTTCTTATGTGGTACCTAGATAACCTAATATCCATATGCACCAATCTTAAATAATGTGCACTGGACCATTTTAATAATAAAATAGTAAAATAAATAAAACAAAATAAATCGAGGTCAAATAATTATTTGACAATCTATATAATTATAATGTCATGCCAATTACTTTGTAGCCACTTAAACAAGGACAAAAATCAACCAGCTCAGAATTTTAATTCATAAAAAAAAAACAAAGAAAATGATCAAAACATTTGCATATTTAGTTAGCAAAGAGCTTTGAACCTATCAAGGTTTGCCACAACAAATGATCTACAGTCTGAACTAAACAATTCTAATTTATTAAATCCTCAGTGTCCAAGGCAAAATGTTTTTGGATTTTGGACCAATATGTATAGTCAATCGATCTTGAGCTTATGTTTGATGATGATGATCTTTATTTCACAGCAATCTGCTAACAGAGAAAACATTTGGATATAAACTTATAAACTACAATTGTCTATTACATATTTTTTTAAATGCCTTTTGAAGTTAACAAAATTTGTAGTTTTAATTTCTTCTGGAATCCTATTAAAATCTACAAGGCCCTTATAAAATAAGCTGTTTTGGGCAAAGGAAGATTGTACCCGAGACACATAAAAGTTGGAATTAGATCTAACATTATAACTATGTATATCTCTGACCATTTTTAATTTATTAATAATATGCTCTGGGTACATTCTATTCCTTATTTTGTATACTACCACCATAGTGTTATAAAAGATCTCCTGGCTTACACTTAATAAATTTGTAGATGTCAGCATGTCTTTAATTCTACCGTATCTTCCCCATCCCAAAATACTTCTCAATGCCTGGTTTTGTTTTTTTTGAATAATATCATCACCTTTCTTAAACATATACAAGATTGTTGCACAGTAACTGAAATGTGGTAGGATTATCGTCTTATATATAATTAATTTAGCCCAGACACTCAGGTCTTTCCTCATTCTACATAATAAATTCACTTTATTTGATAGCTTTTTGGTTATATAAATTGCATGTTTTGAAAACGTTAAATTTTCATCTATAATTATTCCTAAATACTTACATTCATCAACTTGATCTAGCCGACTACTACCATTAATTACTATACCTTTGTTATTGTATGTGTTAGTTACATTATGCTTAGCTTTCAATATCATACATTTAGTTTTATTTACATTCACACTTGAACTATTATTGTTTAACCATTTATATATATTATTTAAATCTTCATTTAAAAAGTTTATTATATCATCCACTGAATCACCCTTAACAAAAAGCATAGTGTCATCTGCAAAGAGTTGAATTTCACACTTCTTAATTATATTAACAATGTCATTTATGTACAACAAAAACAATTCTGGGCCCAGCACAGTACCCTGTGGAACACCATGTACATTGATCTTAGATTCAAATAATGATTCTAAATATTTGGTTTTTTGAGATCTCATTTCCAAGTATTGTGAAAACCAACCTAGGATTTTACCTTGAAAGCCATATCTTTGTAACTTCCTAATTTGTAATTCTCTGTTAACAGTTTCAAATGCTCTGCGAAAGTCCAAGAAAACCACGCCCACCATTTCTTTGTTGTCTAAGGAGCAGACTTCTAAAATATGCAATGGTCTTACAGCAAGTACTTTTTCACTAAAAAATAAGTAGGATATCTTTTTCTAAAAATTATTTTTAATATGTAATTCTGGATAGTTTTTAAAGGTTTTAATGCTGTCTCATATAAACTTCCCCAGACAATTATTCTGTATCTGAGTAATGACTCCACTAGGCAGTGGCGGCTCGCCCCATGACGCAGGTGAAGCGCTGCTTCACCTGCAATTTCAAAAAAATATATTTTTTTTATTTTGAAATTTATAAAAAAAAATCATTTATATCTTAAAAAATTATTTTTCGGACATTCTTTATTTGTATTTGCGATCAACAGAATACTGAGAAACCCCGCAACCAACAACGCGCCTACGTTTGCGCTTAATTTGGCGTGTTGAAACAGAGACCTGAAGCAGCTTTATTTGCACCGCATTGCTGCGTCCAGTACAGATACGAGCAAATACGACGGTTGCCATGACAACGGCACGCGCGCTTCCGTTTTGGCCGAGGCAAGTGAAGCAAATTATGAATTTGCGTCTAGTCTGCTCTGCATTACTGCCGATATCGTATTGTGTCGAGGTTAGTTTTCATTGTTTTGAACAATGTTTCCTGTCTATGATACGGTTTGTGTTATGTTGGAAAAATCGTTTTCTCAATGGAGTAATGATGATAAAAAAGACTTTTTAAACTCCGAAAAACCTTCTCCGATATTAAATGTAAATAAAACCGCTAAAGTTAAGGACAAAGTGTACAGTCGAAATTTTAAAAAATCGTGGTATAGTGAGTTTGCATGGTTATGTGGTAGCTATTATTTAAATAAACTTTTTTGTGTGTCGTGTTTGATTGTAAGTGTTAAAGCAACCGTGTGGAGCAAGTACGGTTTCAATGATTTCGGGAATGTGACTCGTGCTCTTCGTAAACATGAAGGATCATCGGATCATATGCGTTGCGCACTAGGTTTTTCAAAATTGAAGAAAAATCTCACTACTATTGAGGATGCTTTCCGCGAAAATTCCAGGCTGTATATTAAACAGTTTAACGAAAACGTGCAACTTAATAGACGTTTCATGGAATTGCCAATACGCGCTGTCCTTTTTTTGGGCAAACAAGAACTGGCGTTTCGTGGCCACAACGAAGAGACGACTTCTATTAACCGTGGAAATTTCAAAGACCTCCTAGAAGCATTTGTATCTATAAGCCCTGTAGACATTCAGGAGCACTACAAAAAAATTGCCTCAATATTTGCGGGCAATTCTAAAACCATTCAAAACGAAATTATTGACTGCATTGTCAAATGCATTGATGAATATGTGGAAAATGAAATAAAGGAATGCAGTTTTTTTTCCATTCAGGTGGATGATTCCACCGATATTGCCCACAAATCGCAGTGCAGCATAATAATCCGTTATGTCAATCTTGAAGGAAAACTTGTGGAGAGATTTTTAGGATTTCATGATGTAAGCTGCAGCCGAACATCTGAAGCATTATTTAACCTCGTGACAAGGTGTCTACAAAATTTTGATTACAAAACAAAACTCGTTGGACAATGTTTCGATGGTGCAAGCGTCATGTCCGGACAGTTAAATGGTCTTCAGGCTAAAATAAAGGAACAGGCACCCCAAGCAGTTTTTGTTCATTGCCTCGCACACCGCATGAATCTAGTGTTACAACAAAGTTGCAATAGTATTACAAAATGCCGCATTTTTTTTGCAACTATAAGTGGTTTACCGACATTTTTTCACCATTCTCCGAAACGAACTAACGTAGCAGACTCAATAATAGGACGTCGAATACCTGTTTCCGTTATTACGCGATGGACATCAAATTCTAAAGTTATCAGTTTTATAAATAAGGAGTGGGATTCCTTAAAGCAAGTGTTTACTGAAATTATTAATGATCCAACCTCCGATCAAGCCTCGGTTAGACAGAGCGACGGATTTCTAAATAAATTCCATGACTTCGAATTCGTGCTTTTGGTTGTTGTTTTTAACGATATCTTTGGAATGACAGATATACTATTCGACACACTGCAAAAAAAAATCTTTTGATATAAACCTTTGCATTGAGCAAATTAAAAGTGTTCAAACACAATTAAACAAGAAGAGAAATGAAGAAACATTTAAGAATATTTTCGAATTGGCTGCATCAAAAACAAGTGTACAAACGGAACACCGCGACGGCAGGACAAGAGTAACATTGTCTCGGGATCAAATTATTGAAAGATATAGAGTGCTGTATTTTGAAATTTTGGATACCATTTCTCTGCAAATCACGACCCGTTTCCAAGATATGGAAAAGCTTCATTTTGTGACGTTAATGGACACTTCGAAGTTCAAAACATATTCAGAAAAATTTCCAACAGAAGCCCTAAGTAATTTGAAGGAGTTTTATTCAAATACATTCACAGATTTTCAGAGACTGAAAAATGAATTGCAGCTGATCTATAGCGATGATCAATATCAAAATATGGAACCCCGCTTATTAAAGGAATCGCTATTTGAGAATCGCAGTATCTTCAAGGAGGCATATAAGCTTTTGTGTTTAATACTGACCATTCCATCAACAAGTGTTTCGACAGAACGCAGTTTTTCATGCCTTAAGCGAATCAAAAGTTATCTACGAAGTACCATGTCGGAAGATCGGTTGACGAACTTGGCAAAAATATCGATCGAAAAAGAATTATTAAATGAACTGATAGTGTCACAGCCGTTTTACGATGACGTTATAAATAAGTTTGCTAATTTGAAGGACCGACGAATTGCTCTCATATATAAACAATGAAAAGTGCCTGATAATCCTGACTTTGTTTTCGAGTTACTGAATTTAGGTAAGTTATTTCATGTTTTTTTTTGTGTATGCGCTCTACATGGTATGGGGGGGGGGGTCGGTCAATCCTGCGTCACCTATTTGTAAAATCACGAGCCGCCACTGCCACTAGGGCTTTATAGACACAGATTAATAAGTGATTGGTGAAAATTTTTCTGATCATGTAAAATTTTCTAATTAGTTGTCATAGGTTGTTAGTTAACCTAAGCACATGTTGCTTCCATTTATGATATTGATCTATTACTACACCAAGGGATTTGGTGTATGGTACCTCTTTTATTTCATACACATTTTAAAACAAAGCAGATGAGTCTATTATCTTTTGTTGCGAATTACTCACAAACACAAAATGTTTGAATTTGTTTAGAAGGAAAAATGTAACCCATCCTCTTTGCATAAAAATAACATTTATCTTCCGGAATTGTTTGCGATTCATATCGGCAAGCTAAACTAGTGTAATTTGGTATAAAATGCCATTTGAACTGACCCTGTATATTGCTCAATAAACTAGTAGTGATGGCCGGCAAACAGGTGTTTTGGGATAAACAGTTAGAAATTCTCAAAAACTACTTGACCAATCTAATTTTGTTTTCCCACAAAAATTAGTGTACCCGTTTTATGCATCCTTGCTTCAAATACCCTCTTGAACAATTTGCAGCAATAAAACCAGACTTTATAATTATTTCGTAAACCAGCGGTATTTTCGTCTAATATGATTAGACTACATGGCGTTAGTACAAGTTTGGTTGAGCTCTGATCCATCAGTTACAGTTTATTAGCATGTACCAAATAATAACAAATGTCCTTATTGTAGAATTATAGCCAAGATGTAGAGTTTGCAATGTGTGCCCTTCCACCCTACCTTTCAAAGATTGAAAAAAATGTCATGTAGATATTTCGATACTCGAGCAAACATCTAGGATGATATCATTTTATACTTGTCAACAATAAAGGTTAAATACCATAGGCTACCAGAGAGTTACAGGTGGAGTATTTATGGTTCAAAAAAATCCGCGCAACCTATCCCCCTTTTTTTCAATTTTCTGCAATATCAAAGTAGGACCCCAGATTCTTGTCTAGCCTGAGCAATCAAATACAATTTAAAAAAAATCTTGGTCCCTTAGTCCTTATTTTCCAATTTTTCTCAACCTCAATATAGCACCCAGGACATTTTTCTGCTCTTCCACCACAAACTCTGAGGTTTTTTAAAGTTCTTTGTGTTGTAACTTCCCTTCAGTTTTTCTGACAGCATTCTGTAACAACCTGTATTCTCCTAAAGTAGTAACTTGAGGAAATTAGCATAGCTCAAAAGCTTGGCTAAAACATACTTCTGTACAAATTTGTCATCTTGTATGATTTGTCTGGATAAAGTACAGTTTAAGTTTTTGAAATATATAGTGTTTAAAAAACACCATCAGTAATGTGCTCACATTATAATATGATATTGCAGCATGTTTACATATTTAATTGTAGACTCGAGGAATGAAAGTGTGCTGCTAAGAATATAACCAAATCCAAGCGAATAATCAAAATTTCTGTTATGTACCGCGGTTATAATATGGTTTAAGATGACACACGGGTTGATGACGTCAGTTCCTCGAATCGCTTGAACGCGTTGGTTTTAACCGCGGTTTTGTTGCAAGTTGTTTATTTTAGAAAAGCGCGTATATAATTTCTGATTATTTTTATTATCACTTAATAATCGGTGCTTTTTCGTCTACAAAAGTGTATGGAAAGTTTAAAAAAGAAACCTTTCATAATGTTAATTTGAGAAATGTTTTTTTTTCAGAAAATAATTTTTAATGGCTTTGTAGCTAAATCTAATTTTTTCCGCATGTCAAACAAAACACTTATTGATTTAGCAGGAATGATCGGAAATAGCGATGAAAAAATATATTAGCAAAACCATATACAGGTAGACATTATCCTGTGAGTTTATATGGCCATATTTCAATATTCTTGTGGTATATAGCTACACAGGATACTTTGTTAAGCATAAGAACTAGATTTAAAGTGTCCCCAGCAACAGTAATGAGTATAACTAATGGTGCTCTACTTTATGCTACAACTGCAGTCAGCCTGTATCGACTTTCCCAAAAACGAAGCTGAAGTACAACAAAAATATCCAATACCCGCCAAAATTCTAACTTGTCACACTTCAAATAATAACCAGAAATATAAAACTACTCCTGAGTTGAGTAAATACCACAATTTTGCGGTGATAACTATGACATATAACAGCTGATTCATGACGTCATGGATCCTATAACCAAACTGATAAACACACTCGCTTGAACAGATCGGTAAATACCAATCCAAAATGGTAAATACCATTTTCATTTGGTTATTCGCTTGAATTTGACTTATGTCACAAAATACTTTTGGTTAGGATATTTTTTTTATTTTATATTGCTGTGTAAAGGCATTCTGTGTCAGTTTGGCAATAAATGCTATTATTATCATTTCAGAACATAGGTGTAGCATCCGAAGGTGGCAGAAACTTCTCGGCGGGTCGCGGTTTCAAGAACGTCAAAGAAGCCGATGACGACGAATGGGGCACCGGCGCAGGCGGCTTTGGAAGTAGCGCAGGCGGCTTTGGAAGTAGCGCAGGCGGAGACGATCAATGGGGAGACGCGTCCGGTAGCGCTGGAGGTGGTGGCGGTGGCGGTTATAGAGGGGGCAGAGGAGGCGGTCGCGGTAGAGGCGGAGGACGTGGAGGTGGCGGCCGTGGAGGTAAATATCAATGAAATATTTATAGTGTAGTAGTTTTAGAAGTAGTAGTAGTAAGGGTCTTTGTATCGGAACGTGTATTACGTATCTTGAAAAGTGACATTATGCCGCTTTTTTTTGACATTCTGTAGGTTTTTCTACAAGATGTTAACTTAGCACTCAGTTGTACGTGTTGCCTAAACGTCATGAGGCTTGTTATCAATCTTTGGCTCTCATGTGATGTAAAATCTCGCATCCACTTTTTCTTATCTATTCTGGAAATTACATATACAAATTTGCTGAATTTCAAAAATGAGAGAGATAAGAAATAATTAAATTCACTGTACACTGTCGAATTGCAAGCCATATACATGCTAACAGTAATTACACACAATTATCCTAAATAAAAATAACCCGTCGGGCACCGCCAACAGATAATATACTTCATTGGCAGCATATTCAGCAATGATTTTCTCACACAGCAAATATCACTGATTTTATACACATGCAGACCAATACACATAATCAGCCAGATGTGATCTAGCTATTCAACCAACTTTCTTCTCAGAGATAAAAACTACAGACATGGACCATTTGGCCTCACAAAACATATACAACCAATAATGCGTGTAGTTTAGTTGAGTGATTCCTCCTTAAACGGACGTTCACAACGATCCTGGTGAGCAAACGTGGAATGACTGTTTGCGTCCCTAAAAACTACCTGGTTTGTAAGATGACATCTTATAGGTGTTTTTGACGTTTTATAGGTTTTTTACATGATACCCATGCCGATGGGCCATATACAAGCTGAAAGCGGCACCCTTGTAATGAGGATGGGGCTCATTTTTTGATGTTGCTTGAAGGGTAAATGATCAGCGACCGTGTTTATAATAATAATAATAATAGCATATTACCATGCATAATTAACTAATGACATAACTCGCTAAGAACACGTTTAAGATTTCTAAAAGTACAATTAAATATATGACGTCTGTGAATTAAGATGAGACTGGTAACGTATCGTTCGATTTGGAAACACTGGAGGCGCCGGACTTGAAGGGGAGACAGGGGAATATATGATCCGTCTTCAGTACAAGTTTGAACTTGCTCGAGTCATTTGGTTGTCCGTATTATTTTTTTTTTTGTGAAACAGTCTTTTCTATTGTGTTCTAAAAATGAGTGACAGCTGTTTCAAGGAACACGTTTTGCTTCAGATTTGGGCATAGTGCAATGGAAACTCTAGACAGGAGTATGCAGATAGTGTTTTGTCAAGAGCCCAGGGTTTTCGGTGGTTTAAGGCATTTTCAGGGGCCGAAGAAAATATCGACAGGAAGAGTTATATTTTATTCACTCCACCATTCATCAGATCTAGAAGTGGGTGTTACATCACGATATTGCTCCTTGTCACACAGCAATGTCAATAATCGAGTTTGTGACAAGTAAAAACATGACTGTGGCTCCTGAGCGTCCTTATTCGCCTGACTGAGTCCTTTGACTTTTTCTTTTCCTTAAGTTGAAAAACCACCTCAAGGGAACTCATTTTGGGACAGTCGAAAGCATTCAAATAGCTGTAACCGAGCAGCTGAAGGCTATTCCAGTATAGAAGTTCCAGCACTGCTATCAGGAGTGGAAGCACCTCTCACTTTTGAGGGTGACAAGATAAAATTGTAATTATATATGAATAAAAAAAATATTTTCATCACCTAATTTACATTTCTCGTATCACAAAAATTTTATTGAAGTTTGAGCACGTTACTCTAACTGATGACTTTAATAGCAGGTTCATATTAGCACGCCTCCAAACGAATACGAGTAGCTGATCCTGTCGAGAACTAAGTCTAGGAACATAAAAGGATATTTGGGATAACAGTTCAGACAAACTGATGAAGTGGTTCAGGAGCTTATACATATAGTTGAACTATCCTTCCGTCGGTTCTTCAGTGAGGCTAACCCAAATCTGTTAAGTCAGATCCAAGCTCTGGATAAAATCTATCAGCTATAAAGACTAAGGACTTCAAAAACTTTTTCTGGGCATAATCAATTCTATTTACGAGTATATCGCACTGGTAGTAAGGACGCCAAACTATTGATGCATATTATATATTAACGTAGGTAAAATATAAAATTCTCAAGACATTAAGCAATATAAGTTTATAATTTCGAACTACAAAACCATACTTTGTTTGCAAAAACTAGATAATAACATAACAAACCAAATATATATTTGAAATTTCAGTAAAGTAAAAATTCTCAATAAAAAATGTGTACCTAAAGTCAATTTTCTCCATACGTGTATATGTTACAATTTGCATTAACTGACATTTTATTGAATTCATACTACAGCATCTCTGAAGGCTATCCATCTGAGATAGAATACTTTTGAGTTGCCAGTAAACACCGGTTTACCACATTTAAGTCCATCACATAAATCATTGATAAATAGTAGAAACAGGAGAGGATCCAAGTTAACCATTGGTGGCACTCCTGAAGTGGCCAAATACTGCTGAGACTTGTATCCATCATAAGTTATGTACAAGAAATGATCAGTAAGATGAGACTAGAACAGTTTTACGGACTGGTTGGTAAAGTTGTACAGCTTCCTTATGAGAACTGAATGATCCAGTCTATCAAAAGGTTTTCCAATTTTTGCATATATAACAACTAGCTGACTGTGATTATCTAATGTAATAAAAGCTAACTGGGTAACTATCAAGCTAGTGACTTTTTTATTTATAAACCCATACTGGTCTTAAAAAATGTACATATTTGTAAATAGATGCGATTATACAAAATGACCTTCAAGAGCTTAGCAAAATTGTTGAGGATACAGATTGCCCGATAATTGATGACTAGGGTTTCAGCCTCTGATTTGAAGACTGGACTTTATGAAAGATCTTCGTTGTACGAGGCAACGAAGTTTTCCACCCAGGCTTGAGCCTCTTCAAGGATCGAATTGATCCGCACAATGCAGAGTGCCTTTCTGTCAGTCCAAATATTGCAAATTACAGTGATGAAATGCCTGGCTTTACACTGCTCTCAACACTCCGCCGTTGTTTGGCCCATTCTGCAGTATTAATAGTGGTAGTGGCTGAAATAGTATCTGCAGCAGTAGTTATGGCATTTTTAACATTATTGAAGTTTGGTATAGCGATTTTATTTTTTTAAAGTTTTTGTGTAAAGGCTTTATTTAATCCTGTATAATGCATGAAACGTGCTGCCCTGTCTTCTAGTTCCTAATCCAGCTTATTGAATAAATTGATATTTGTTGCACTCACTGTTTCTCTTCACTAAGAGAGTTCCACGAGTATACCACATGAGTTGGAATGGAATTTCTCCTTATCAACTTAGTTGTTCTTCCTTTTTCTAATTTCATGGTATTCCAAGATAAATATTCTTTTATTTATTTATTTATACATTCAGGGGACAAGCCCAATTTTACAATTTTATTCATTTTAAATTAATAAACTGCATTTACTAAACATTAATAAGATAAGTTTAAAATTAATGTCCATGTAAATAAAATTCAACACACTCAAAGTATTGAGAATAAAGTACAATCCAATCAGAAATAACATATATAAAAGGCTAGGCAACAATTTTTAGGGTTCGTTTCAGGGAATCATGGGATATATGAAAAATATCGCCCTGAAATTTGTTTGCATTTTTCAACATATTATTTAGGAGCCAGTGTTTACCGTATAGGGTGCGATGTTGAGCGACTTCTGGCCTCTTAGGGTCCTAGGAGGAATATCATTATCACAAAATTGTGTAAAAATTTTCTCTACACCTGACCAGAGGTCAGATTTCATATCGCTATAGTTTATGCAGTCCTTGGGGATGTTTATTTTGAAAGCTATATATTTAATAAACTTTCTCTGAATAGAATTCAATTTATCAATGTGGACTTGATAGTAGGGGTTCCAGACACTAGTAGACCCTTCTAAATGAGATCTGACAAAAGAGGTATATGATAGTTTTACAGAAAAAAATTCTGTGAACTCTCTAGTATTTCTCTGTATGAAACCCAACATCCTCAAAGTCTTCCCGCAGCAACTCTCTATATGTTGAGCAAAAGTTAACTTTGGATCAAAAATTACTCCCAGATCCCCAATTAACTTAACATTTTTTAAGATAGCCCTATCAGCAGAATACGTATTTTCTGATACGGTTATGACTCATTGAATATTTGAAGGGTACATGCCAACTCTTGTGCAATTCGCGTTATTTTACGTCTTTTCCAGTAGTTTGATGTCTTTGACAAAATAGGGACTCCATGATGTTCCTCCTCCACATGTTCAAGTTTTGGTCGAATGTACATCTGATATCATGACAAATTCTCATAGATGACGCTACCCTTCACGAACGAAGGTTAATTAATGTTTGAATTGTGTATATTAAATGTTTAGCATGTTAATATCTACTATTACATTTATACTTGTTATAGGCCGTGGAGGCGGTTTTAGGAACGACCGAAACGGAGACGGTGGAGGCGGGTACAAGAGCGATCGGAATGGCTTTAGTGGTGGCAGCAACGATGACGGCTGGGGTGATTCTGGTGGAGATACAGACGGCTGGGGCACAAGTGGAGGTGAGTGGCATCCACTTGTTTTGTTTACGAGTTTTTTCGAATAATAATAATAAAATGAATCTTTTTTTCAAAATAACTGTATTATCACTGTATATTACACACTATTAGGTGAAATATACGTCACAGCGTCAATGAGACAGAAACACATAACATATACAGACTTTAGGCTCTAAGTGCATTAACAATTGATGAATACTCTTTTTATATTCTTGTATAACTGACAACCTTTTAATTTCTTGTGGCAACTGAGTATAATATTTTAGTGCAGATTAATGTACTTTTTTCTGCAACCATCAGATGTTGGACTGGATATAGATTTTCTATTTCTTGTGTTATAATTACTTCGTAGGTTACCGATAAAGTTGTCAGTGTTTTTAAATGTATAAAAATTAGTGTTTCTTAAAGTGTTATTAATCTTAAACTTTCCTCTGCAAGTCTCTCTAGAGGAAATTTTCAGGATGCACCTCAACCCTATGGCTACTATGTCCGAAGAAAATTATGATGAAACATGCAATGGACTCCAAATTTGCTTAATATACCATAATTGAATCTATACGATGCGCAGTGGTATCTCTATTCTTTAGGCTACGCCATGGCAATCGCCAATAATTTCGAGAAAAGCTTTTTAGACGCATCTAGATATAATCACATAGCAATTAACTTCGTTTTTCATTTGTTTGAAGGCCGCGGTGGTCGGGGTGGTGGAAGAGGTCGCGGAGGCGGTCGTGGAGGCAGAGACGGGGCAGGTTTCGGTGATAGGGACGGCGATAGAGGTGGCAAAGGAGAAGAGCCGGTCAAAAGGGAGATTTATGTGCCTCCCGAAAGGACCACTGATGAGGAGCTTTTTACCACTACCATTACCTCAGGGATCAATTTCGTCAAGTTGCATGACATTGAAGTTAATGTAAGTATATTTTATGTTGATTTCATTCATTTAATTATGGGGCCTCACTATATCGTTAAGTTTTCCCAAGAAAAACTTTTCTGGAGTATCTTCAAAGCGATAACAGGGCGATCAAGATAAGAATACTAAGCAACGGGATATCAATATCTGTGGGAGAGACAGCTTGTGTTAAATCAGGAAGAAGTTCATTTATATTTTTTTTCTGACTTTTAGTTTAGAAATATCAAAAAAAAAATAATGTACAAATTTTGTGCCCGGCGTTTCGTTTTTGACAAACCATCAGCAACTTTAATTTTGTATATGGTGCGAAAAAAGTACACCCTATATCTAATAGCATTTTTTTAATTGAATTCCACGATTTATCACACCATGTTACAGTTACTTTCTTGGTTTAAGGAATGGTGCGTTTTTTCTGTATTTTTTTTAAGTAGTTGTTGCAAACAAATGCTAGACTTGACGTAAATACCTGTCACCAGGTATTGTTATTATTGTGTATTGTTAATATTGCTTCATTATCGCCAGCGATCTCAGGCGGATTTATTTGAGCAATGAAAAAAGTTCGACATAAATTTAGAGCTATAAAAATACTACAGAAATGTATCTTGATATATCTCCCGAAACAAGGCCCTCCATTTTCTTAGAGTTGGTTCGAAATTTAATATGGTTCCTGAGAATCGGATATCAACTAGGCAAATTGAGCAAAATGTAGGACCAACCAAATCGACAGCGCAATTTATTTTGCGTAAAAATAGATATAACCCCTATAAATTCAGGATTTGTCAGGGTCTTAGACCAGAAGATAGCGAATGACTATCGCAAAACGCTTTTTGCAATGTCAGGTTTGTCCAAAACCGGTAGTTCGAGACGGCTAGAAAGCTAGTTAAACCGCAATGCGTAACCTTTTGAATGCTGCGCCACTGAGCGAGGAAGTATTGTAACCGCTTAAAATTTCGATGAGATATGTTTTTTGGATATACATCACGAAAAACCATGTCACCTATTTTCGTTATTTGTCTGTCGCATAATCCTTGGCTCATCTATAACTTCAAAAGTACTGCTTGGATTTGGATGACATTTTCGCACAATGTTACTACAAGCACGGAAAAGCTTTGTAGTTTTTGAAATTTGTCCAGTGCTGGAGAAGAAAAATGCCATAAACGGAAAAAGTGAAAATCGTTCAAACTTCGTTTTCGTTCGAAAAATTGGGGATGGGGGAAGGTATATCTCATTTTTTATAGTTATTTATTTATACGCTCCCAGCCCCGGTAATTCTACTCTCCTATTAGCCGTATTACCATTTGTTGTTAAAAGTGAATGATATAGAAATGTTTACGAGATGCGTCTCCTGCTATCTGGCAACGTTGCCAGATGGACGGTAACTACCGGTAGAGCAGGGAAAGAATGTCTATGAATCAATTGTATGGGCCTGTTTGACTGACTTGATAGGTTTAACTTTTCTATTGTACATTTTCGTAAGTATGTTTTGTCAGACGGTTTAACTTGTACAGAACTTGATCCTTTATGTACTGATGACGGCGTTTCGTATAATGTGCAGAGTCGATCTACTTGCCGCTATTTTTTCGCGTGATCGTGACATGAGTTGTTATCGATTACACGAAACACAAACGTCGAGCGTCTCAAAACGCACAGAACTGTTGTGTTCAGACAGCAAGGTTGCCAGATCAAAAGTTTCGGTTTTGTTAACCAGAACTTGAAAAATGAATGTATGGACATCTAAAAGTTACTTAGAAGTTAAAGTTAATCATCGATTGAATAAACTGGCGTTAGAGTGTTGAAAAATATCACATATTCCATATTTTCTCGATCACCATTTTCATACTTTTTTAAAGGTGACGGAAACCTAAGGTCATAATACTAATAATCCCGTGGGACAAGCCCAATTCAGATTTTAGTGATTTTATCGGGTTGCTTCATTTTGTATCATATCGATGAACTACTTACCTTATAGGTGAGCGGCGATAGTGTTCCGCCACCGATTCAAACGTTTGATGAATCTGGCCTCAGGCCGCACCTGCTAGAAAACGTTAAGAAGTCCGGATACACGAAGCCTACTCCAATTCAGAAGTATGCAATACCGATCGTTATGGCTGGCCGAGATTTGATGGGATGTGCTCAGACTGGTTCTGGCAAAACGGTAAGTGAAGTAGATGTGATAAGATGCTTATAAATCAATGATAATCCTTATTTTTATGCTTTAAAACTATGAACAATCAACCCCTAATGTACCTTGACGTGCACACTACCCCATGTTGATCGACTACACTCTATTCAAATCTTATTTACGCCGCGTTAGAACAAACATTAACGTGCGATATCTTGGTCATTGCACTCCTACTGGCCCTTCCTATGAATGAGGTTTAAAAAGGGTTACGTGTAAACGTAGTAGTATTGTTAACGTCACATGTACCTTTTTTTATCTGCCGAGCCTTATATCATACCTATGATCCTAAGACAATAAAGCATCTATCTATCTATCTAAAGGAGACTTACTAGTTTTCGTCTGATTGTTTCATGGTGTCTAGAGATCATTGGAAAACACGGTTATGTCCAAAAATGCATTTTTGTCCATTTTTTTTTACAAGGTAAATTGTTAACAAGTAGTACAGCTCTAAAATTGTATGTGAATATTCCACTTTTATAGAAGAATGGGTGGGTGATTACTTCTTGTTTATCACTTTCTCTCTTCAAAAAATATTTGGTTTTCTTGAAAGCTCAGTTTGCTGCAAAAAAGGTTTCAAGCGAATCAAAGATTTCTACTATGAAAGTGGAATTTTACATGCAATTTTAGTGCTGTACTATTTGTTAACAAGTTACGATTGAAGAAAGAAAATGCAGTTTTTGACAAAGTAATTTGATAACATTATTTTCTCTCTATATACGCCATGAAATAAGATGAAAAGGAGCTAGAATACTGCTTCAAACAGGCAGTTGACAAAAAAGGACATGACACCTTAAGTTGTAAAATACGCCTTGAAGATCTATTATAAATTCAATCGAGCATGTATCTAGTATATAAAGGGTACTATGAATGTTTTGCAATACAGCTTTATTTATTGACTTCGTTCAAAGTAATTTCCACCACATTCAATACACTTCTCTGTCCATCAAAACCAGTCTCAAACTCATCGCTAGAAAACCGTTTTCCTGTTAGCTTCATTTTCACATGTGGAAACAGTGCAAAGTCGCAGGGGGAGCAAGATCTGGGCTTTAAGGAAGGTGCTCAATAAGTTCCAGTCCAGTAGTGGTCAACTACTCGGTGCCGGCTTTGGCGCGGGGAGCTGGAGCGTTGTCAAGGTGGAGGTACCAAGTGTCCATTCTTGACTTTGGCCCCAGGTTTTTCATAGACTCTATGACTTTAGGCAGGCACTGTTCCATGTACCACTTATCTGTGACTATCTTCTGTGTGTCCAAAACGACACGCTCGACAATCCATCTTGATTTGAAAAATGCAGCTATCATGTTTTTCTTAACATATCGGGATTTTCTCCGTAAATGATCATGCAGAATGGAATGAATTGCTGGTGCAGGAAAGTGTAAGGTCTCCTTTATCTGTTGGTATCTCCGGTTTTCGTCAAGCAGTAATGTTTTCCGCTGTTACTGACGTTCGCAGCCTTCCTTCACTCTCAGCGTCCAGAGTGAAATTGCATCTTGGGAATTCTCTGTACCACCTGAATATAGTCGTACGATGAGGACAATCATTCGTAAAGTTATACCGTAAAACTGCCCTTATCTCACTACGTGACCGCGATGCCATAGTCAGCACTTTACACTGTTAATACGAATGAACAACTAAATCAACAGACGTGCTGCTGGCGGCTACTATGCACTCATGGACATGTCTCAACATGCAGCCTCCACATTGCAAAACTTATAGGACCCTTTGTGTTTGATAAACAAGTTCTATGTTTTTTCAGGCTGCATTTCTGTTACCGATGATCCACTATCTGCTAGAAACAAACGCGCCTCTGACCATAGAAAACGGATGTTGTTATCCACAAGTGGTCATCTTATCTCCAACCAGAGAACTGTGCATTCAAAACTTCGAGCAGGCAAAAAAATTCTCATTTGGCTCCTTCCTCAAGTGTGTCAACTTGTATGGTGGCACCTCTGTCGGCTACCAGAGGAAACATACTGAGGTAAGTTGGTTTTATTTAACACATTATTTCAGGTCTGAAGGCTGTTACTACGGAACATTGGCGTACCCACAAAAACTTCTGGACGTTAGAGGGGCGCAGGAATATTCAGGAAGATGTCCATCTCGAGGCGGAAGAGAAACAGCGTTTTCGCCTGTCTTAGAAAAATATATTTTTAAAGTGTTGAGGTTTCTAAGGTCTGATAAACATGGTATTGATTTTTTTGGTCTAATAGGACAAACCTTAAAACGCTTTACTATTAGGTTGTTCGGAAAGTTCTTGCGGTTTTTAACCTTCAAATACATCTATATTTCAGCTTTAACAAAATTCTGTTAATCAAAATAAAAACCATTAGAATTAGTACACTTTTGCCAACGAGAAGCAAATTCATCATTGAAGGCATTTTTGGCATCGTCATCGTAATCAAAGCATTTCTCGCGAAGGAAGTTGTCGAGGTGTTTGAAAAACTGGTAGTCGGTGGGCGAGTGGTCCGGCGGGGTTGGTTGTGCAACGTCTGGCCGAACGTTGTCGTGTAGGAGAATTGGCTCCTTCATATTGACCAATGTCAAGGGGCACATATTTCGGAGCTTCTGATGCATTTCGTCGATTTGCTGGCAGTACTTCTCCGTAATCCTTCCGCCTGGATTTAGGAAGCTGTGGTTGATGAGAGCGACTGCAGACCACCAGTCACCATAACCTACTTTGGCTTGAGTTTCAGCTTCGGGAAGTGTTTTGGAGCCTCGTCGCTTGTCCAAGGTCAGACGCCACCTCATAACGACGATTTTTCTGATCTTCGTTCAATTCGTGCGGTAACCATTTATCAAGCTTTTTTGACTTTCCAATCCGTTTGAAGTGGTCGAAATATCGACATCAAGCTCACGCACAGTTGTGCCGGGATTTGCTTCCACCAGGCCCTTTAATTCGTCGTTGTCGACATCATGTGGCCGACCACTGCGCTCTTCATCTTCAAAGCTTTCGCCACAGCTGCGGAATTCCTTGAACCACCATTGTGCCGTACTTTCACTAATGGTTACTTGGCCAAATGCATCGTAGATATCGCGAGCTGTCTCGACAGCTTTTCGAATTTGCCTCTTGTCCATCCTGTATTTGAAGTCCCGAAAAAATAAAAACCAATTATGTAAAGCAAAACGAATACAACGACTAGATAGAACGAAAACGCGCTTTAAAATTATAAATAAAGTCAAGGTATTTTAAATAAATTCTAGTGCAAAATACATCACTTAAAATATAAATAACATAAACCGCAAGAACTTTCCGAACAACCTAATATTAAATTCCCTTGTCTCTAGATGGCATATGCGCGATATGAAATATCTAGGATACAAGATCCAAGAGACTGCTTGCTGTTTGCACTTTCACAGTGATGGATTCTGGTAACAGATGGCACTTTGTGCTGTCTTATTTCGATAGACTTTTTATATCTTGCATAGAGGATAGTTGTTCAGCTTTTGTTCGTTGTCCTACCTGAGAGCAAGCCTACACCATGCTGAAGAGTTGCAAAATAGCACGAAACAGCTGTTCATGGTTGGCCGTCTGTGGTCGGAGGAACGAAAGCGATATTACTAGCTTATGAAACATCCAAGTTAAGTTGTTGGAAATGGCCCGAAATTTAAATTCTAAAGTACTACTCAGGGTTAAGTGGTAGAGCAGATGTGTGTGACATCAGTGGTGAACATCGGAACTTCGCCCTTCACCAAACTCTCTTTTTTTTTAATATCAATGTAAGTTTATTTGTTTGGCGTTTGGCGAATAAAGACGTATATTATTATTTCAGTTGGGCTGTCATATTCTTGTGGCTTGTCCTGGACGTCTAGTTGACTTCGTGCAAAAGCGGTGCGTAAACTTTTCATCGGTCAAGTTCTTTGTTCTTGACGAAGCTGACCGAATGTTGGACATGGGCTTCTTACCAAAGATAGAAGAGATCTTGGGAGATGGAAGCATGGTTGCCACAGTGAGTATCTGCAGACTTTGATTTTTGCCGAAATGGTTTGGTTTGCTTGTTGAAGATATAACAAGATATTCGTCATCTATTTTGGATACCAAACCAGTTAGTAACCCAAATATTTTATTTTTTTGTTTTAGGGTGACCGCCAAACGTTGATGTTCTCAGCTACATTTCCTGAAGAAGTTCAGCATTTAGCGGGAAAATTCCTGGCTAACTATATTTTTGTTGCGGTAGGAATAGTTGGCAGCGCCTCGTCAGATGTTGAACAGGTGTTCCATCAAGTTACGCAATTCAAAAAAAGGGAGAAACTGATTGAAATGCTGAAAAGTGAGTTGTTTATTATAGCTTCATTGATGGTGATGATGGTGATTGGTGGCATTATTTCTTTGTCATATGTATTTTTATCGCATTTTACCTAGAAACAAGTGCCCATAAAATTCATCTAAACGTCTTTCTGGTTAACATATTCTCCAAGATGTTCAGTCCTGTGCTGTTTTTGGACGTTCACATACAATTTTCATCATCACAGCCACGCTTTCAAGTAGGCTCGCAATAATTCTCCCTTCGAAGTAATAAAATAAAAAAAAATATTTTTAAAGCTTTTTTTCAGATGTCTATAGAGTGTTACTAAAATTTAAAAACATGTTCTTCTGAATGTAAATATTTGTAATGAGGCTCCTTCATGTCAAGTTATCTCATGAGCGTGTTACATTCTGTTTTCAAAACGTAACAGTTTTATTTGAAATTTTGAGTTCACGCTTCATTATCATTTAAATATTTCCAATCGGAAAAAATATCTTTGGTTCACTTTATTAATAGCTATGTAAAAGCTTGTTTTGAAAGATGTATTTTTTTATTTTATTTATTTTTTCTTTTTGGTATACAGGGTGTTCGAAAAATAGACGGAGATGGAGAGTTTCCAAGATACAGGGTGATACATTTTTCAAAAAACCTTTTGTTCTTAATATCTCAAAAAACGTTTACTCGATTCTGTTGAAATTTGGCAATAGTATTTGTTGTAATAAGAGGCTAATCTAGCCCAATGGCGTCTCGCTAGGCACCTTAGCCACTATTATTGGCAAAAAAGTAGGCCACTGCCTTTTTTGAAACTTTCATATTTGTTGTTTGATTAAACATCTAAAAATACAACTTCTTTGCCCCTTGTATTTTTTCGTGTCACTTCGTTTTCGAGAATAAAAAATTAAAAACCGTTACAAAATTGGTTTATTAATTTTTGCTAAAAAAATAAGTACCTTGGAAAACAAAAAATCATTTCTACTTGGAGGTTTGCCATTTGCGCGTCAGTTCAGATTTCAACAGAATAGAGTAAATATTTTTTAAGACAATAATAAAAAAAATAAATGTATTACCTTGTATCTCGAAAACTCTGCGTTTCCGGACCCATGTTGATATAAACTTTTTTCATATTTTTTAACAAGGAATCACCCTCTAAAATATCTACATCTATTTTTCGATATATATTTCATTAATAGGACTCATTAAAACTTCTTAATTCATTTATATTAAAAAATTTCGATAGATAAAAAAATATAAATCATCTAATAAATCGTTGCGATCTCCAATTTAGAATGACGTTCTTATTTTATTATATAATTTGTTTATTGCGTTTCTCTCTTCAAGCCCTTTCATTTGATACCTATATCACCTATGAAAATGATGAATTGCCATGTTGTAGCACCCGCCATATTGAATTCAAAATGACGGCAGTTAATCATTTTGAATTATCAAGCAAACCAAACGTATCTACAAAATTTCAGCTAGATGGTTAAAGGTCCAAAATTCAATTCAAAGATTTCTCCCACACATCATACAAAGAGGGTCAACAAGTTAAGTAAAAGCTTATAATAAAAGCAGACTCCATTTTCCTTTTCTCGTTTTCCTTGGTCTCTTAAAATTAATTCCTAAGATATTGTACTCCCAGAATTTCTCAGCTACGGAAAAGGAAGATTGTGGTCTTTTCACGGTTTTTGGCGGGTAATAGTGGAACTACAGGAATTTCTTTCATACATCGATCTCACCCACGCATATATATATATATATATATATATATATATATATATATATATATATATATGTGTAGGTATTTGGTCTCCATGCACAGACGTTTGTTTGTGTAAGCTCAGACATACGATTTTTTGTTTTGTCTCACCGCCTTCAAAAATGTATCCCATTAATTAACCTATTCTACCTGAAGATAGTCAGTCTAAGCTATAATCGTCCGTCTAAAACATTGATTCCCAAAGTGGTCTATATCGACCCCTAGGGGTCTATGACAACCTGCAACGGGTCTACGTCAGCGACAAAAAATATAAGGGTCCATGAAATGAACATGGGGGTCCACGATAGTGGATCTCAACACATAAACTGATAGTACCTATTTACTTACATCATACTATCTTATAATATCAAAACATATACATTATTTATAAAAGTACCTATGAAGTAAAAAATTGATTATATATGTTTATAAAATTGTGTAAGTTGTAGGATGTTGTATTCGCTTTGTGGTCGCAATACATTTTGAACTTGTAAAAACCCGAGAGTCGCAGTCTCAGAGCTTCGCTACCTTGCACTGACTTGTTCTATAAATACGAATGTGGGACAAATACGTTTATTCGTTTCCTGAATCTTGAAAAGGAAAGTGCCAAGAAAATATTTTAAAAAATATAAACAGATAGTATATCACACAAATTATAGTGAGTCAGTGTTATTTTGTTTGAGAGTGCTGGAGAAAAGTAAGTACATTATTTTTTATTAAATTTTAGTTTTGTACTCGTAGTTAGCAAAGATAGATAAATTACGCCAATCATGACTTTAGTTATTAGTAGTTAAATATTCAATCATGCAAAATTACACGAGTACTCCTCAATAGTTTTAGCAATCGGTAATATAATTACAGTGCAATCTCCGTAATTCGAGCTAATTGTTGCAAGAAGATGTTCGAATTATGGAATGTTTTCGGAAAAATCAAAAAATATTTTTAATACACAGCTGCTGGATTTTCTGTCTTATTTAAATTATTTAATTTTGCCCACAGATGACTGATGCCATGTCTGAATCTAAAAAGAAATGTAGACAGTACAGTGTTGATTATTTGAAATTTGGCTTCATTCCATCATTACCGGACAAAAAATCGCCTATGTGCCTTTTATGCAACAAAGTTTTGGGCAATGACGCTATGAAACCATCTAAACTGCAAGATCATCTCAGAAGATGCCACCCTGATAAAACAGAGAAAGATTTGAAATACTTTCAAACACTCGAAGATAAATTTCAGAAGAGACCTACACTGGACAGAATGTTCGCTTCGACGTCACAAAGAAATGATGATGGTTTGCGGGCGTCTTACAATATCTCGTTACTTATAGCAAAATCCGGAAAACCGCATGCTATCGGAGAGAAGTTAATTTTGCCAGCCGTTGAACAGGTTTTAAAAACTGTTTTACACAAACCTACATCTGATATCATTAAAAGAATTCCCTTAAGCAACAATACTGTTGAAAGACGTATTGATGAAATGAGTTCTGATATTGAAAGCTTCTTATGTAATTATTTGCAAACGGCCCATTTCTCTATACAACTGGACGAGTCAACTTTACCTGATAAGGCAGCATTATTATTGGCATATGTTCGTTTTATTATGAATCAAGAAATCTACGAAGAACTGCTCTTCGCAAGAACTTTGATAACCGACACTAAAGGTGAATCAATATTTCATGTTTTGAAGGATTACTTCATTGAAAAAGCAATTCCTTTATCAAATATAATATCAGTAGCTACAGATGGAGCACCTGCCATGGTTGGACGTTATCGTGGATTTATAAGCTATTTAAAACAAAATGTGTCTGGGGTGTTAGCAATACATTGCGTCATCCATCGACAACATTTAGTTGCTAAAAATTTGAGTGTTAGATTGCATGAATCACTTCATTTAGTCATTGATGCAGTAAACCGAATCCGAAGCAACGCGTTGAATACGCGGTTATTTGCGCAGTTGTGTGAAGAAAATGACGAACACTTTCATCAATTACTCCTTCACACGCTGGCTGTCGAAAGGCTTATGTTTGACAAGATTTTTTGCACTTTTTGAGACTATTTTAGAATTTCTGGATACTAAAGATAAAATTTTAAAAGAAAATTTAATGAAGAGGAAAACAGATATCGCCTATTTAACAGATTTGTTTACAAAATTTAATATGGTTAATTTGCAATTACAAGGCGACAGTTTAAATTTGATTAAAACAAAGTCCATCTTATCAGCGTTTCTTGCCCGAGTTAAACTAATGAAGCAACATATTGGACGGGGCGAATTTTCTCAGTTCCCCAATTTGTCACAGACAAGCTGCCAGGAAGACGACGTTTCAACTTACGTTCAACATTTAAACGCCCTCTATTCAGATTTTGAATCTACGTTTGAGGATATTTTGACTATGGTAATACCACCGTGGATAATTAATCGATATGGTGACATAGAAGAAACGAATATCATAATACAAGAGGAACTGACTGAACTAAGTACAAACGAAGAACTTAAGGTTCAGTTTAAAAACAGATATTAGCAATTCTGGCTGCAAAACAACATACCCGTTACTTATCCCGTATTATGGAATATAGCGAGGAAATTTTTAATTTCCTTTCCATCGTCATACCTACTGGAAAGGGGGTTCAGCGCTGTTACCAATCTCCTAACGAAAAAGAGAAACAGACTGGACATCATTAACCGAGGGGATTTAACATTAACCCATACAAAATTGACGCCAAATGTTGATAATTTATTATTAAAGCATCAGGTTCATCCTTCTCACTAAAAATATTGACTTATTGCTTATGTTATTTTATTTATAGTTTATTTTATGTTTATTGGTGTCTGACCAATAAATGCCCGCATTGGGAATAAGTGCCCACACACACTAAAATTCGTTAATTTTTTGCCTAGTTTTAGATAACTTAAACGTATAAGAAGCAGAATTTAATCAAACTAACAGTGAAATTATTGTAGAACATACGTTTATGTTATAATTAATAAACGAACTCGCTTATTGTACTATTTTAAGTAAAAAACTTTTTTTTATTATTTTTCACTTTTTTTATTTCATCCCTCTTATTTTTTTTTTCAATGCGGGCACTTATTCCCACTGCGGGCACTTATTGGTCAGACACCTGTTTATTTAATGTTACGTATATTTTACATAACAGATACAAAATTTTATTTTGAGTAGCTTTAATTTAAATTCAATTAATAAATGTATAAATTAACATGTGTTTTTACTTTAAGTTTTTAACACTAAACTTCACTACAGTTAGAAATTTACAGGAAATCAATATCAGGTAAGTAGGGGGTCTACCCAACACGGAAAAACATGGCAAGGGGTCTACGAAACAAAAAAGTTTGGGGAACTCTGGTCTAAAATATTATCATAGATAAAACCAGATACCTTAGCGTCAACTATGAGAATTTGTCACAGCTGTTTCTCTTTTTACTATACGTAGTCGTGCCATAAGTTCTGTCCCATGATAATCTCATGATAAAAATGAAACAAGATAAGATATATTTATATGAAAGATATTATTTATTCGACAACATTTTTAGAATTCATAATCAAACAGTTTTATTCAAAATGTCCCCCCTTGGCCTTCACACACTGCTTCAATCTCGCGGGCCACTCATCTATCACTGCACGCACAGCTTCCAAAGGAATAGCTGCCGCTGATCGGATCAAATCCGCTTTCAGGGACTCGATATTACGGTGGGCTTTGGAGCAGGCCAACTGCTCTAGCAGGTCCCACAACTTGTAGTCTAAAGGATTGAGGTCCGGACTCCCTGAGGGCCAATCTTCCGCAGCAATGAACTCTGGCACATTGCTTTCCAGCCAGCGCTGCGTACTCTTAGCCTTGTGAGCGGGGGCGGAATCCTGCTGGTAGACCCAGTGTTGGTTGGCAAACAATGTACCACTTAAAGGCTTGACGATAGGATCCAGTATGTCGCTCTGATAGTTTGCCGCTTTTGTTTTCACGCCCTGTTTACAGAAATGGAGCTGAGTGACCCCTTCGTAGGACACCCCCCACCAAACCATGACTGACGCAGGGTGGTGGCCTCTCTCAACTCTCGGAATGATCTCCGAAGCTTCCTGTGAACTCCTTGCATACACTTTGTCATTTTGTCGGTTGAATTTTTCTTCTATGGTGAAGATTTTCTCATCCGTGAACAAAATCTTTCGGAATCCCCCAGCTGCGTACCTCTCCAAGAGCTTCTTGGATCTTGTCGCCCTGATGTGTCGCAAGGTGGCCGTAAGTCGCTGGCCCGTACGTCTCCGGTAAGCCCCTAGCCCTAGGTCTTGTTTAATGATGCGCGACATCGTCCGGACAGGAATCTTCATTTCCCTGGATAGGATCTTCTGCTTCCGGAGTGGATTCCTTTGAATCCTGGCTTTTACGACTTTGATGGCTGCTGGAGTCCTTACTTGACGAGGTCTTCCGCTTCTTGGCCTGTCATCAACAGAGGACGTCTCATTGTACCGCTGAATGGTCCTAGACACAAATTTACGCGATATTTGAAGGCCGCGTAAGAGTTCAAAAATCTGACTAGCACTGTGATTACACTTATGTAAAGCTATCACTGCAATACGGTTCTCTGCCTTGCCCCACTCCATCGTTATGCTTCGAGAGATCAATACAAACTGAGGTATATGTAATTACCCGAAAAGCGCTTAATCAACTGACACCACAATGTAAACAATCGGACAAGTATTAACAGGTCTACACTTGTTTGAAAACGAGGGACAGAACTTATGGCATGACTACGTATATTGTATACTTTGCAAAGGTTAGTGTCTCACTGTGAACCGTTCGGTAAAATAAAAGATTGTTTTATAAGCTACCTAATAGTACAAAGTGTTACTTAATAATTCATTTGTTTCATTTATCCGGTAAATAAAGGATAATAACTCGTAACGTGGACTTCCAATGTCTACCCACCTTATGTCCTTTACCATTTTACAGATAGCGGTAACGAAAAAACAGTAGTATTCGTGGAGACGAAAAGAAACGCGGACTTTTTGGCCACGCTGCTCAGCGAGAATGACATCGAGACGACGAGCATTCACGGTGATCGGTTGCAAAGGGAAAGGGAGCAGGCGATCTGGGACTTTAAGAAGGGCATTCGTAACATCTTGGTGGCCACTGGCGTAGCTGCCAGGGGCTTGGACATCCCGGGGATCCAACATGTGATCAATTACGATCTACCGAATGCTATCGACGAGTATGTTCATCGTATTGGAAGAACTGGTAGAGTAGGTGAGTCTTTTGTTTTGATCTACTGTTGTCTTGTTTCGAGGCATCTCAATGCGAGTTGATTAATGGGCCTGTTCCGTGGTTATTTGTAGTGACGTTCTGGGTCAAGGTTATTAATAGGCCCCACACAGAATTTTAGGTGGTGGAATAGTTGTTTATAAACATAACGCGCCTTTTGATGTCCTGGAAGATGTAATTCAGAAAATACAGTATATCTTTTTTATCAATGCCATGAATGTTAATAGTGGAGACTTCAGTCTTAAGTTTGTTTAGATTTCTGAATCCTACCCAGATATTTTGAGTTCACTAAACATATTTCGTTTAAATCTAAACATTATTTTGTAAAATGCTGATAAAATCAAGTTAACAAAGTTTAATGTCACATAAACTGATAGAAATATTTGAGTAAATAAAAAAGATTTTACACAAAAAAGCCAAATAGACAAAAATCGATCTTGCTAAATAATAAGGATTACTCATTGACTTTTTCGTACATAGTCAACCAGTTGAAAAAATCAAGTTCGTTCTTGGATTTTTCAACCATTGACTAGATTTACGTTGCTCCTAGGTAACAGATATTTTGAAAAATATCATCAAAATCGTAGTAATAGTGTCTGAGATATATGAGCCATTGAAAGCCAGGATGGTCCAAGTCCAAATTTTCAGATATCGAGGTTCTATGTGTATACTGTTCTGGATGGATGAATCTTTGTCTGGGAGAGTTTTGAAAAATGTATCTTTTCGTTTTGTACACATATGGCACCAGTCTGTTTTTATATGTCAATGGAAAGCTGTAACCGTTATGAGGCAGCATGGGACAAGTGTGACTTAACCCACTCTGATTTTCAATAGTAGTGTCAAGCGGGCAAAAAATAGCATCAAGTACGTGCCAGAAGACTGGTATAACAATAAGAACATGCAGACCCAGGAAACCCTTTTACGTCTGTGAGATGGAACGGTCTGATTTTTTCTCATCAACAACATTAGAGAAAGCTGTAACAAGATGTAAGAAAAATGGTACTAATGCCACTGTATCATGGCTCCAGATCCAGTGGCTACACTTTGAGAAAAAAGAACCTTACAGAATTTTTTATAAAGAAACTTTGAATGAAGAATTTCCATATGATTTTATAAATTTACTACCAAATCGAAAAGGCGCACCCAAAAACTTCAAAAATATAAACCTACCTCCTTTGTATGAATCCCCTCTTCCTGTCAACGACAAAAAGAAGAAAAACATGGAAGAGCTTCTCCAATTCATACCACCAGTTCATCACAGTTTTTTCAAGAATCTGAAGACAGATGCAACTTTGCCAGATACCGGACCACTGCTTGTTACTGAAGAAGAAGAAGGAGAAGGCGAACAGACTCGAGAATTTCCAGAAATTCCATAAGGTCGCGTCAGTACAGTACAGTTTATGTGTAGAAAATATACATTATTTTTTTAATGTATGGAGATTGATTTCTGTCGTTTTGTAATAAAATTATCTATTCATATAATGTTGTGTAACTCTACTTTAATACTCTACTTTACTATAATCGTTATACAAGTATGAAACCAAAGGTAAGAACCGTTTTAAGGCAGAGTGGGCTAAAGCTTTAACATATGAAAAAAAAACACATAAACACAAAATGTTCATGTATTTTATGATAAGATACTTAAATTGAATCTACCTTTAAGGGAATTTTGATTTCTTACTGCATTTTTATTACTCTACATTTATCAGCCGCATCTAAACTTTAAAGCCTTAAATCTCGGAAACGTCTTTTTGTGACTTGGACCATCCTGGCTTTCAATGGCTCATATGATATTCAATATTTGGCGTGTTTATAACACCATGTATATCCGTAAAAAGTGAATTTAACACACCTGTTTGTCTTTTTTTCCTACCTGACTTGCAAGGTACTCATGATCATTAGCAGGAGCTTTTCTAAAGAAAAGCATTGTTAGAAGTACAATATGAATCCACATGGAACAAAAAAACCACAACAAAATACGACTCTGCCTACCTGGCGTTGTCGGATACGCCACAATTGTCTGTCACTTGTCGATATGGAAAAGTTTGAAATATTCCTACATAATCAGCTGTTATTTGCTGTTACGGTTGATGTAATGGAGACTCATGAAAACTGGTCTAGTTATCGGTCGATAAAACTAACGTTTCACTGTCCATTTCCTCTCAAAACACCTTGGAATTATTTTGGCATCTAGCTTACCTCTTGCCGCTAATCCGTCCACCTGTAGTGATGCCTCAGGTTTAGCGAGAACATGCACTACACAACGTAAATGATCTAGTGCCAAAGTAAATCAGATTATACAGGGTGTCCGCAAAGATCCTTCCTTTTAAGGCACAACTACGCTTGATATAACAATGCTAATGTCTGGTGAAACGTAAGCGGAGAAGTAAAAAATAAACGAAAAAATACTCACTTCAGTTGAATTGAAGTTCCAAGTACGAATCTGTCGTAAAATCAGAATTTAGATCGTAGTCGTACGTCATATAATTGTACGATGGTGCAGGCACTGTGGACGTGATCGAGGGATAGGACAGGACCAGCTTCGGAGTTTGCGGAGCTTGATATCTCGGTTCTCTTAAGCCATTGGTGTATATGCTACTGAGAAAATCAGCTTATTTATTTCCTCAAGATCTACACGTCGTGTAGAGGAAAACCTCAACTTTGCGGTCATCCTGTATAAGATATTGAAAAAGAGTGTATTTTGTTCAGTAATTGTTTAGTGATCTTATCGTATCAAAACTACATACAGGTAACAGAGGAAAAGCAACAAGCTTTTACGACCCCGATACAGACGCCAGAATAGCCGGAGGTCTTGCAAGAATTTTGAAACAAGCTGGTCAAGAAGTTCCCGATTGGCTGGGACGAGGAGGATCCTCTGCGGGCGGATCCAGCCATAGATTTGGAGGAAGAGATATCCGAGACGTGAGTAGCTTCATTTTTTTGTACATATGTACTTTAACTATTTTCATTTAATCGATATGATGCACTGAACTATAAGTAACACAATACACCGTTACCATAATAAAGGGTGTCCCATAATTAACGCAAGATTTGAATTTGCCGCAGTGTTTGCAGTAAATTGTAGGCAGCATTGAAAAAAGAATAAATTGACGCCTGAGAGGTTAGGATCAGTAAAAATGGAGCGTTATACGATACAACAACGTATTTTCATTATAAAACAATATTTCAAAAATAATGAAAATTTAGCGTCCCCAGTTCGAAAATTTTATACGAAATATGGCCGGAATAGTGTTTTAACCTCGTCAGCTGCGAAGATTAATTAAAAAAATCAGGGAGACTAGATGAGTTGGAGACGCTAAACACACCGTCCTCCAAAAACAAGCCGTTCAAATGTCCATGTCGACGTAGTGCGTGAGAGTGTTGGTGAAAACCCAGGAACATCGTCTCTGCGTCATGGACAAGCATTGCAATTTTCAAGAAGCTCTATACAGCGTATAATCACAAAAGATCTGTGTCTCCATGCATACAAAATTCAATCAACAGAACAACTGAAGCCTAATGCCCATGACGAAGAGAGTTCATGGAATAGATTATTGAACATCAACAAGTGGATGCTGATTTTTCTAGCAAAATTATCCTAAGTGATGAAGCACATTTTCACCTTTATGGCTTTGTTAATCGCCAAAATTGCCTGAGAACCGACGTGTAATTGTGGAAAACAAATGCATCCACAACGTGTCACTGTTTGCTGCAAATTTTGGGCTGGATCATACTTTTTTAAAAATGAGGATGGTGAAGCAGTAACTGTTCGTGGTGCTCGATATCGCGACAAGATAACACAGTGGTATGGATGTGTCCAATATGTGGTTGACGGTGCCACATGCCATACAGCCAGTGAAATATTTCAAATACTGCATAAGACATTTCCTGGTCGTGTATTTTCGGTGATCAGAATTGCCCCCCTAGATCGTTTGATTTAACACCATTAGATTTCTTCTCATGGGGTTATTTCAAGTCAAAGGTCTATGTCAACAAGCCCACAACCACCATTACAAGAGGAAATTAAACGGTGCGTCAACTAAGTCCAGCCACCATCATGCAGAAAGGTCATGAAAAATACATAACTTCATGGTTCAACAAAAAAAAAATAACTATCTAAAGACTTGAGACTGTGCTTTCTATTTAATTCAAAACTTGCGTTGATTTTGGAACACCCGTTACTTCTTCTGTTAACTTGGTACTAGTGGTAGTGTTGCGATAGTTTGTTTCTACCAAATGTCAATGAAAATCTTGCAAATCCTTTGTTAACTTGAAATATAGTCATAATCATTAGCAACTATAGTGATTGGATCGCTCTGATTGTAGACCATAAATACTTTATGCAAAACAAATCGCAAAAATGTCGGCGTCGCTAGAAAGAACGGGCAAAGTACGATTTGGGGTATTTTGATTTTCTTTGAATGATAGCTCTAGTCGTTGTCACGTACTAGAGTCGTGAACTGTGGTGAAAAATTGTGTAGATTTTTACTTCCTACGAGGAGGTATTTTAATGACGAAATATACAGTCATGGACAAAAGTATGGAAAGGTTTGTTTTCTGGTTATACTCTTAATATTTGTTAATGAGGAATTGATTACATACTAAAAAATAAACATCCACTGCTAACATTTTAGAAATAAATGTAAATACAAAATAAAACCAAGTCTCATATATGGTAAATAAAGAAAACCCTTGGACAAAAGTATGACAAGAATATTTTTATGAACAAAAACAAAATTAAACATACAAATTCAACAAGCAATGTACAGTATTTTGTTGAAAATCCCTTTCCTGCCTCTTCTTGGCATGGAATCAACAAGATTTCGACACACATCAACTGGAATCTTCCGCCACTCATCTTGCCCATAGATCATTCTCACTATGAATAATTCTTTGTCGAATTTTCCGCTCTTAGTGCTCCCAAAGGTTCTCAATTGGATTGAGGTCGGCGGATTGCGAAGGTCATTCCAGTAAATCAACGCTTTTCTTTAAAAATCATTTTTTTAACTGAATGGAATGAATGTTTCGGGTCGTTATCTTGTTGATATCTGAACAACAGCGACATTTCTTCTTCGGCATAAGGTAACATACGAGCCCCATCCCACTTCAGTTGGCTCACTTCAAAATTTGTACCAAAATATGCCTTTATAAACTAAACATGACGAAACTATTTACTTATAAAACAATTTATTCTCTCAAAAACATTTTAGATACACTCTAGTCGTAAAAAATACATATTTGAAATCACTTAGAGCTATAACTAATAGAACATCTGAACAAATAATGTGCGAATAAATGCGCGAAGTTAACAAAGCAACAATTTAAAGATTACCGTTGGGTAACATCACCTTTATTTTTTATTACGGCTGAAATTATTTGGGGCATAGTGTTAACCAAGTTTCGGCAAAAATTTGGTGTAAAACAATCCCATATTTCTTGAAGCTTTTGTATCGGTTCGGTGATTGTACGAGCAGGATGTTGTCGTAGAACCTTTTTCATTTCGTGCCACAAAGTTTCAATAGGTGACAGATCTGGGCTGCTAGAAACCTATTTCAAAAGTGGTACATTATTTTCTTCCATCCATTTTATAGCCTTTTTTGAGGTATGGCACGCTGCACCATCTTGCTGAAACACAAAATCTTGGCCGGATGTCAAACATTCTTCCAGCACTGGTAAAAGCGATTCTTCTAAAATTGTCAAATAAGTTTTCCTACTCCTTTTGATGACATACTGCCCCAGACCATAATGGATGCTGGAAATTTCACTTTTCTCTTCAGACAGTCAACATGGAATGCTTCATTTTTTTGCGAATAACTCTACTGCGACTGTCACCAACACAAACTTCGAATCGGGCCTCATTACTCCATTGTATTGCACACCATTGTTGAGGTGTCCATTGTCTATCTTTTTTAGCCCATCTAGCCGATTTTTCTTTTGCAGTGAAGTTAATAGTGGCTTTTCTTTGGCCTATAAACAAGTTGTGCAACTTTAGGGTTACTTACCTTGCAAGTGCTAAATCCTAGTTTGTGGGCCTCTCTATGAGTTGTGGACCTCGAAATTCCCCTTCCAACAGCGTCACTCCACAGAGCACTTAATTGTAAATAATTGGCACGCCTGTTTTTCACGATTATTCTTCTTAATGCTCTTCGGTCGGCATTTGTGATATTACTTTTTTTCACATATCGTGGCTTAATATTAACTGAACCAGTTACGTTATATCTTCTAACAATATCACACTGTACCGCGATAAGTCTAACAAAGTTGCAATTTCCGAGTTTGACTTCCCAGAATTAAAAAATTTAATTATCAGTAACCGAATTTTCTCACTAATAACCTTTCCTCTACCCATTTTGAAAACCTTAACTACCCAAAACTATTTTAAACGTATTCTGACAGCTGTGATTAATAAAAATAATTGTCATGGCTTTTATTTTTGGTACAGCCACCTATGCGTTATAGACTTATTTTGCATTGAAATGAAAATAGGTTGATATGCTGTAATTGCAACATGTGTTATTTTTATGCTGCAAATTTGATTAGAGAGTGATAAAGTTGGTGTTTTCTACTATATATTATCAAAATATTCATTGTTAATATTTTAAACCTATTAACACCCTGCTACATTTGTATTATTTGTGTCTGATAAGAAAAAACTAAGATTTCAATAGTTGGGCCAACTGAAGTGGGAAGGGGCTCGTAGTAGCCTGTAATACGTCGCGGTATATAAAGCGATCCATTTTCCCAGTTATTTTCAGTATCGAGCCTGTTCCAAACCTGGAAAAACACCACCAGATCATAACACTGCCACCACCTTGCTTCACTGTAGGCTTTTGATACCTGATAACAAATTCTTCCCCGACAAGTCTTCTTACAAACGATCTTCCATCAGCACCAAATATTTTAAATTTGCTTTCGTCACTCCAAAGCACCGCACCCTAGTTTTAAGGTGTCCAATTTAAATGTCTCTGAGCAAACTGAAGTCTGCCCATTCGATTATTTTTAGACAGTAACGGTTTTTTTGACAGCAACTCTTAAAAACAAACCAACTTCATATAGACGTCTTCTCACAGTACGGGCCGTTATGTCTGTGTTGAAATATTGTCGAATTTCTGCATTAATTTGGACGGATGACCTATGCGGATCAGCTATTCTTTTAATGCCCTTATTATCATAGGGGGTAGTTTTTCTAGCACGACCTGACGTTGGCCGATTAGTAACGTTTCCTAGTAACCGAAACTCTTTTAGAATTTCTCAAACGACACCCTCGCTTAAGTCTAAATTTCCTGCTATAGTACGTTGCTTTTTCAACTCGACAACTTTAAGTCACAACTTAATATTGTGCTGGGTATAGCAGTGATACAACAACACTAATCCAAGGATGTTAAATATGTAACAATGCTGATATGAAAAAACTTTCCATACATTTGTTCAAGACACAAACAAAACAAAAAAACGCAAATAAGGTAGGAATGTCTATGGCACAAAAAGTAAACGTGAAAATATGTGATGCCTAATGTTTGAAATAAAAATCTTTAACCTGAATGTTATACGACGTGTATAGCACGAAAACCCATGTTACTCATTTCAGTCGGCCTGTCCGCTAATTGTTGGCCCGTCGAACTTGGAAAGTATTGCACTAATTTTGAGCCAAGGATGAAAAATATTTGTAGTTTATGAAAATCCATTCAATGGCGGCGGAGCTACGAGCAAAAAACGAAAAAATAGAAACGTTTTCACTCCGTATTTTGACGTTTCAGAAAAATATTTGTAGGGGTTAAAAAATGGGGGTTGTAGGTTGTAGGGGGAGGGGTACGCTGTAGATCTCAAATTTTTGACGTTAGTATATTTATACGCCTCCAACCACAGTAATTCTACACACCTATTAGAAATATTTTTCACACATCATATATTTCAACATCGTGCGTCGCAATCATTTCGATGGGTGTCTGTGTTTTGCAATCGGTAGTGGCTGTCGTACTGCCGTGAACATGGCGAGTGGCCAGGTTAGCAAGAACCAATGTTCATGGGTGTTCGCAGGATATTTTCTTTGGTGTGGGGGGCATTTTTATAATTCAGTTTAGTTATACATTTTCGTAGCCAGGTTTTTCCTTAGAGCAGCAAACTAGTGCCAAACATGATCCTTTATGAATTATTGATGACAGTGTAATGTGGGAAGTGCAGAGTCAAACTTCTTGACGTCATTTTTTATCGTTTTAGGGCGATTTTGGAAAAGACAGGAATCTCGTGAAGGAAGTAGCAGAGGAAGTAGAAGAAGAATGGTGATAAACCAATAAATTATTATGCTTTGGCGGATTCACAAGATTCATGTTTAGTGCACTTGCTTGAAATCAAAATAACTGTAAGATTGCTATGACTAAGCAAAAGACAATAAAAAACCTTGGGTCTAAATTATTTTGATGTGGCTTCTAGTGATCCATCATATTGTCTCTATGGTAAATATAGGGTAAATGCGGGAGAGTTGCCGCACATTCCAAAGAAAGGTTATATTTTTGAAATTATTTATTTTTGAACATTGAAAACTTAACACAAATAAATGTAACTCTTAAACTCTCAGTATGAGTATAAATAAAACATAAGACTCTGATAGAATATACAGGGTGTCCGCAAAGTTGGGGTTTTCCTTTTCAGAAACAACTACCCTTGAAATAACAAAGGTAATGTGTAGTGAAACGAGGGCGACCAAGTAAAAAGTACTCACTCTCCAGTTGACGAGAAGGGCTAAGTACGTCTCTGCCCGAAATCATACCGCTCCAACAGAAAATGAAATCAGCTGAAGCGCTACCGAGTAGACGCAGAAACCACATTGATTGTCTTACACTTAATGGCACATCTTCTAACAAGGAAGGCAAAATGTTGCGTGAAAAGTCTAGGTATTGCATCCCGTCCAATCTATTTGGGAGAATAAATGGTCCAATGAGCATACCGCTCACCATGCCAGCCCAAACATTCACCGAAAATGTTTGTTGAAAATGACCAAACATCAGTGTTGCGAAAGTTATTCACCCCATTACGCGTGAACGTAGATTCGTCTGGCACCAATATGCACTTCAAAAAGTCCGGATTATTGTCATGTTGATGCAACAACCACTCACAAAACCGCACTCTTGCTGGAAAATCGTCAGGTTGAAGGGCTTGTACACGTTGGACGTGAAACGGATACAGCGTTTGCCACACTTTAGTTTTTGATACTTGCACTTCTCTAGCTACGTCTCTAGTGCTTGTTGCTTTTTGAAACGCAATCGATTCGTTTACCTCTACACGCGTGACTGTAACCGTCGGTTGAAGGTTGCATACTAACCTGACACACTGACCCCGACCCAGTTCTGCCGTCGGGTTGAGACCTTGTACCAGTCGGGGGTATCCCGGCGGGTCGCGGCTACAGGACGGTATTCAGATATTTTTGATGTTGCAGAGCCGTTTATCTCGGTTCCCTTAAGACATTGGTGTATATGGTACTAAGAAAAATTGCTTATGTTTTCAAGATCTACACGTCGTGTAAAGGAAAACCCCAACTTTGCGGACACCCTGTATATAGAAAAACATTGTTTTAGTGTTTACAACGCGGCGTCTCTCCCGACCATCTGGATGAGATGCCGCAGGAAAAGGGGTGAGATGCCGCATACCTTAAGTTGAGTATTTGGTGTTTTTTTCGCATAGTTTCTGTCTAGAACACACATTACAGACCTCTCCATACATCGTGCAAGTTTCGTGCAACCACTTTTGACACTTTAAACATTTTAGCCAGTCCTCTTTCTTCGTAGTTTGCTCGTAAGGTTCGTAACACTCCACGCACAAATATTCATTATCATCATGACCGTCGTTTTTGGCCCTTTTCATGGGAATTTTATCATCATCATCTGAAGTCCAAGTGTTATTGCTGACTTTTGCGTTGGAAGTGGCTTTCTTGATCATTTTTACGAGGGGCTCATCATCATCTGAACTCCAGGTGTTATTGCAGGTTTTTGCTTTGGAAGCGTCTTTTTTCACATGCCTATTAATTTTCTTGCTGGGACCAGCTCCAGCACTGTCATCTTTTTTCCTTCCTTCCGCTTTTTTGTTGCTCTTGCGTTGGATGTTTTATTCTTTTGTTTCAGTTTTTCAATATTTTGCGGCGAATTCAAAACAGGCGCAGCTTGTTTTTTTCTGCTAAATAATGGAATTGGAAGCACAGGAACAGGAGACACCTCATGGAGAAGCTTTGTTGGCGTAAATTCAGGTCCATCGCCTTCTACTATGTCATCTACAACTTGATCATTACCAGTTTGTTTTTGATGGACCTGGATCAATTAAGTTCAACCCTACTGCAGCTTCGGGACTCACATGCCGCAGTGGCTCCACTTTCTCACGTGCGTATGCAGGTGGAGTAGCTGCGTAATCAGCCACAAAAAAAATTATCCGGGATAGCATTTGGGTCCAATGGATAAACTCCAGTGGCTTTAAACCCATTGATAGCATTAGCTAAACACGCTGCTTTCATCCACGCTTTTCCAATAACTTCTCCAGCCCGGTATCTCGCGAAATTTCTGTTACTGTGGTGTTTCATCCAGAGGTGAGCTTCTTGATTGAAATAAACTTTAAATGGACGAAAGAAACTCCTGTCAAGTGGTTGGAGAGCCTATGTACAGTGACTGGGCAAACAAAGGATAATAATGTCGTTCTCATCCGCTATCTGAAGCATTTCTATATTTGTGCTGTGAGACGTGTGACCGTCAAGAATTAACACGCACTTACCGGCTGGTTTATGTGGTATGAATTGCTCCACCAACCACTGAACGAAGAGCTCCGAATTAATGAAGGAAGACTTTCTGTTCATGTTCACCTTAGATCCAGGGGGCAAGCCATCTGAAAGCACCGGTTTTCTGTTAACCCCTTTAAAAATAAGAACTGGAGGAATAAACGTGCCATCTGCACTGCAGCAAGCAATCACTGTGACATTCTCTCCGCGTTCTTTCGACGTTAATACATGTACATCTTTGCTACCTTTCTTCGTTACAACTTTACTAGGTTTATTTAGGAGTTGTACGCCTGTTTCATCCATGTTAAATATACAAGAAGGTTTTTCCATTAGACCATTTTTTGTTAAAACTTCATCCAGCAACTCAAAGAATCTTCTAGCGTCCTCTCGATTCATTCCCTGAGCCCTTGAGAACGATAGACCCTCAGCTTGCCTAACGAACAATTCAGGATTTCTGTCCAAGAATGAATGAAGCCATGCAAATCCTGCCTTTTCTGTTGCAGCTGAAAATGGATGTTTTATCCATAGCTTTTCAGCAAACCTAAACGCAAGTGTTCTAACTGTGCTTCTGTCTGGAGCAAAGCCAACGACTGACAAACGATGAATGTGCGCAACTAGTCTTGTTACATTGGCCCTGCCCAAAATTCCTAAAACAAACAAATGCTCATGATTTATCGCAAAATTATTTTCAAAGAGATTCCTTCTGCGCCAAGGGCACCCTTCTTGAAATTGCCAGATGTTATTCTCCTTTTTATGGTACTAGGGGGTACATTATAGCGCCTGTGTGTCTCCCTTTTAGATATTTCTCCTGTCTGTACTTTTGTTACAGCCTCCATTAGTTGCTCATCCGACCAGGTGACCCTTGATCGAGCTGTATTTGATGGTATGTACTTACGAGGCATGATCTATAGACAGAAACATATAAAAATATTGTTACACTTTTCCCAAATTAATGCTTTTTTCATTTTTTCAATTATTATTATAACATTTTTTTCATTAAAAGCGTCAGAAGTGCAAAAGTCATGTGATAACGAATGCGGCTTCTCTCCCGTTAATAAAAGCGGCGACTATCCTTTTTGTGGGGATAGACTGCCGTCTGTTAGAAGTGTTAACGAAATTACTCAACTTTTACACAGCAGCCTCCATACTGAGCTACAGTCCTAACAAAACCCATGACGGCACAAGATACTACGCGTAAGATTTGTAATACACCTAAACCAAATTATGCTTAAAATATTTACCACGGTTTGTGTACTTACGGATCTTAAAATCCCAGATATTTTGTCGACTATCGCTTCGATGGCACAAATCACAAACTACCGGTCACTTTGCAGTATTCATCTACCACATATTGCGGCAACAGCTCCATCTCTCGAGCCTATGGGAAATTACAACCTCCTGCCGCGGCATCTCTCCCGCATTTACCCTATCATTAAAGTGAAACTCTCCATGAAAATGAAATTTTAATATTTTGTTTATTAAAGTATTAAGTTTAACTGTTACTGATTTATTGAAGAATATTTGATTTAATGTATAACCAAAAAGATTCAGACATTTTTAGTGGAGATTCTGTAACAGTATTAGTGTTTGAAAAATATAATTTTTATAGTGAACTACTTGTCTTCAAGGTATAGATGTATGACAAAATCTGTCATCGTTTTCTGTACCAGAATCGATTTTGTAATATACTATTTTGTTACTAATTTTCAGCTGACTGTGATATCATTTATCATTCTTGACGTACTGTTTTAAAGTAAAAAGTTTTTTATTTTAGCGAAAAATAAGGCACTTATATTGAATCAATTTGAATCCGTCTTCTTCTCTGTTATCTGCAACATGTTGTTTTAGTTATAAGGACAATCCAGATAACAATGCAGGTGTTCAACATTTTGTGCGTATGGGGTATTTTTTTGTTCTCATTTTCCGTTGCCTGTGTTGTTAATGACTGGAAGTTTTTGTGTTAAGTTTGTACAATTTAAGGATAATTACTTTAAGTTAAGAGCCATATAACATGCTGTGATACTAAAATTAGTGATCTGTTATATGGTGTAGAAACAATCGATTAAAGTATTTTGTACAAACTTGTTTTTTTTTTAATCTGCCCCTTACATTGAAAATTTTCCGAGTTTTCTGAGAGGTTCGCTCTAACATCATTTTGCACGGAAGGAACGAACATTTGAGAGGAATAAAATCAGAAATCAATGAAAGAACTGAAAATATTTATCGAAACTTTATTAGGGTTGAACTTAATCTAATACACTGCATTATAAGTTACATAAAAATTAATCCGTAATTTAGTCTAATCATATTAGACGAAAATACCCCTGGTTTGCGAATTATTTGTAAAGTACGTAACCTTTGTTTTTCGCATAAAAATAACATTTAGCTTTCGGAATAGCTTGTGATTCATATCGGCAAGGTAAACAAGTGTATTTTGCTATTAAATGCTCTTTGAAAGAGCCCTGAATATTGCTCAATAAACTAGAAGTGATGGCAGGAAAACAGGCGTTTTGGGATGAAAAATTAGAAAATTAAAAAAAACATCAATATGACCAAAATACTCCAATTTTGTTGTTATTTAGAAGAATGAATCCTACGGATTTGAAGAATTTCAAGTAGTTGCGTGAAATTATCGTCGCATTACCAACAAGCGGCAAAACCTGCATTTTGCATCGGCTGTGGTCTCATTCTGTACGTCTCGTAAATACCTAAAAATCTTATATGAAAAGTTCTTTTGTTCCTGTAAAAACTTTCGATTGAATCCCAAAAAATACGTTTTCTCATTCTTTGTCGTCAAATAAAAGGTTTTCCCACAAAAATTATTGTACCCATTTTATGCATCCATGTTTTAAATACCCCCTTGAACAACTTGCACCAATAAAACGTGACTTTACAATTATTTCGGGGAAATTTGCTAATATGATTAGACTAATTATCAAGTCTTAAAATTGAGGATATTCACCTCAACCTTGAAACACTGCTTTAATCTTAGGACACTAAAACCATATACCTGGAATACTTTTATAACCCCCATGCTTGTCCGACCAAACAAAACCACATGCACATGGGGATCAGTATAAAAACCATAGGATAAGTTTCAAATATTTTCTCATCCAAAATAATTAGAAGACAAAACATATTCAAAACGAAAGAAAATTCAGAAATTATCTAACACCTAACATTTATCTGGCTAAACCTAGAGAATAAAACTTAAAATTAAATGGTGCAACCATCATACATAAACAAATAGGATACATTAAAATCATTAGACTTGGCAAATTCATCAGGCAGAGCTCTGTTACACTCTGCCAGGTGATTCGAGACACTCAAAATCATGCTCTTCGAGACATCTATTGTATCAACCATCAGATCATTTTTCCACTGGTCAAAATATTGTCATGATTATCAACGGATTTGAATAGAACCTTTGCAACGTCACATTTCTTCTCTTCTCTGGAATTGTCATAAAATACTTCTAACCTTTTTTCCAATATCCACAATAAAACGGCTTCAATGTTATTTATGGTAGTTTGGCAACAAAGCATTATCTTTACAGAACTCTGCAGTTTTTGCTGAAAGACACTATTGATAACGTTAAAAACGTCTTGCAGACTCGACGTTGATACCAAATTATTATCACTAATGAACTCTACAGTGTTCAACCAAAATTTGGCTGTGTTATCATTGTATTTAAGCCCTAACCAATCCTGACAAGATTTACAAAACACAATTTTACCAGTTTCATCCACGTTTTGAATATTTTGTATATTCAAATGAACTAAACAATGCGTATAAAAAATATCCGATGGTTTTGGATCTAGATTAAAGTTATTACCGACATCAGATCTATGACAAAACCACTCATTTGGATCAGAGTTGTCAGAAGGCAAAGGCAGAATTCTTTCAAATACCAGTGGATTTGTTAGAGGAGTTTTACACTTCCCACAGAGACAAGTGTAGGAGGTATTTGCAGAAAACAAAGGTTTGTCATGAGAAAACTTGAAATTTGTGGCAGTGTTCTGGAGAACTTCAGTTTTAAAACTACCAGATGCATCATTTTTTGTAGCAAACCGAAAAATTACATGAGTATCATTGACTTTGACTGTTAAGCTATTTTTTACTATACCAGTGAACTGACATGGTATCTTTTTCTCTCTTCTATTAAAAACTAATTTCAAATCATCATCTAAGGACACTTTGACATCATCTGGTCTTTTTGAAAACTTAACAAACCCGTTGACACTGCAAAGTCTTGGTCTTATCTCCAGAATGATCAGCTCATACATGTTGACTATGTCTCTAAAATGCCAGCAGTTTTGAGCTTTTCAAACAACCTATGGTTCTCGGGCATAACAAAACTTATGGTTGACTTCTGGTAGTAATCAGGAGCTACTTCCAAGTTGCTTATAACATCAGACAGTAGATGAGCCTTCCCAACTAATATACCAGGTGCTTCATGTCTTAATACACAAAAATGTACATGCAGGTGATAAAAGGTCGGCTGGTAATGCAAGTAAACTCTAAGCTCATGTTTTTCTATGCCGTATTTGGTTTTGATCGCTTCCTAAAATAAGAAACATTTCAATAAGTGGGTTCACTCAGTATTTTTGATGGGGAGAGAAACTAAAAGAAAATCCACTTACTGATCCTTTTTCTTTAATATTCTTCAGCAACGGCAAATGTTCACTTGTGAGATCTCTCAGTGACTTTATATTCTTTTTGTTCACAATAGCCAACAAATACAGTGTATCTAATTCTCCACTCCACTTTAGGTCAGGTACCATGACAAATCCATCATTTGGGTCAGTATCTTCAACAACAATTTTGTCTGCTTCAGATTTGTGTTCAAGAATATTATATACCCACTGAAATAAAACATGACGTAATAAGATTTCTACAGTAGCTTTATCAATTAGAATACTGGATCCGTAATGATCATAATAAGTTTTCTTCTTACTTCAAAGATTGATACTATTATTAGACCTCATAGACAGTCTAAATTTAGTTGATTTACACAAAAGTAATTTAAAAGTAGGATTTGACCTAACCATCTTTCTTGGCAAAAAAACGCACCTTGCACACTGGAAATATTTTTCAAAAGGTGCTAAGGAAAATCGAAATATATGAATATACCCTCTTAAGCCATTCTTCTCTGTTCAAATTGCTTGATTGCTTGTTAGGTACAAAAATATGCGATCGAAGTTGCCTCTTTCATCTTCTGGCCTCCCAAAATACTGAACTGCAACGTTGTATTATCGCCGAAGACAGTCTAAAAAGCATGACTGATACTGGAACGTAATGTCCGAGCAATAAATTATAGATAAAAGGAACGTGTGGCTTGATTGAGTTGTCTCCAGTGGCGGTGGGCTATTGCTGTTGCTGAGGTGCAGGTTTAATTAAATTCTCAATATGGTGTGATTTTCAAAGCAGATTACATCTTTATTTGTAATAAATATCCAGGTTTTTCAAAAGAAAAATATTTCCATCAAATTTCAATATTCAGGGAGAATCAGGTTGTTTTGATTAATTCTGATATGATAGGTTGGATCTTTGGTATTGAATAGACAAGTCGTAAGTGCTAGGCTACCTAACATAGTTATGTTTGGAAATTGAACATTCTCTTCTAAAATGTAAATATGAAAAACGTTTACGAAATTAGCGCTGGCTATTTATCCTTCTTGCAACTAATTTCCTTAGCCCTAAAAAGTGTTTCACCAGTATTCAGTTCAACCACTTTCTGTCTATACAAAACTGCATTCTGGTAGACATACTGGTAGATTCAGCCACTTTAAGCAGAAATCCAAGTATATAGAATTTTTGCTTTTCCAGAAATCCTCCCAATGCTAATACAAACAATTATGATCAATTATGGTTTATTAATTTTATTCATATGTGACTTCCTAGTTTATTCCGATGATGGAAAATTTAATGTGGCCATAAAAGTGATTTGTAGGAGCCACTGTTGTGGTTGATTTCGCGATAGTAATTGTTTCCTGTAGATTGAGATACTGCTCAACCAGTGGTGTTATCCAGAAAAAGATCTGGGAAGAGGGGGGGAACTCGCTTAGTCCAGGTAGCTACACTTCACAGAAGGTATAACATGCTGTAATATGTAGAAGAAGCGTAATGAGCTGTTGCGCTTCGTGAGGAGGAACTCCGAGGAGCCCCAAAGCCCTCCCTTGAATACGCCGGTGTGCCCATACCAGAATAGGAACAGGGGCGTGGGGTCTGTGGGCCTAGCTCAAAGAGTTTTCAGCCCTTCTTCCTAATATCATTGGGATTGCACCCATCCAGCGACGGCGACGAAGTAAATAAGAAATGAATATGTCTTTCTTGATTCAATTTACAAATTAATGCATTGATCAAAGAAATTATCCTATTTTTAGTCTGAAAATATTACCAGACATTTGAGAAACAAAATAATATTTTAAATTTCAATAGGTATTAAGAGTAATCCATGTAATTTTTTCTTATGAATGTGGAAGTGGAACAACCAGCGGATACGCTTATGCAGTCGGCGGCGCGGCACCTCAAAGACAAAAGCTGTATTTTGTGTTTTTGGCTCACAAAGAAATTGACAGTAGCTAGTAAAAAGTCATATTTTTCTATTTGACTCTTAGGTCTAGCGGATTTATCATTTAGAAGGCTGGCTATTATTACCTCTAATCGCATCCCAAGAAAAAAATTCGGCCTGATTTTTTGTTCATTTTCCTGTTGTGCTTTTTGTCACTGAAAGGAAACTGTAGCTAAACTGTTTTCACAAAGCTTTTTGAAAAACTTAGTGAGGCTTCGCTTTCCGGCATTTAGGCTTCTGCCTGCGCGGCTGCTTCAATATATAATATTATTATATTATTATACATATATAGCCCATAATCATTTGAATTTTTATTGAACAACTTCACTACCTTATTATAACAATGAACTGATGGATTATAATTTATTGTTTGCGCAACCTACCTTTTTGGCTTGTCTATTGAATACCAAATATTTGACCTACCATAGAAAAATTCGACTCTCAATCTCTATTTGGGATCTGACCAGTTATTAAACAGACAGTCGGCATTGAGTAATCAGGGGAGCAGAAAGTGCCTTTTCAGACACACACGGTTTCCGTATAAACGGTTCCGTGACGGTTCTAGTAATACATGTATTTGAATGAGCGCTTTCAGATGTCGCCATGACCGTGCCGTTACCGTAGTGCGGCCGTGCAAGTCGACACGGTCGCGGTTCCTTCACGGCGGCCGTAGAGCTAGTAGATATTGGTTATGCATGAGTTCGTTCACATACACACGGTCGTATAGGCTCCTGTTTAAACAGCGGCGTGTATACGTATTTATTTAATATAAAATATAATGTCAAAAGAACTAGATACTGAGTTATTAATTGCTTTGATAGAAGCTCGTCCTGTATTATGGGATAAAACATCACCAATATATAAGAACAGAAATGAGACGAAGGAAGCGTGGAAAGAAGTCTGTACAGAAATGAACAGCGATTTCCATGTTTATAGTGAGGAAGAAAAAAATAAATATGGTAAGTTCACATATTTTCTATATTTTTAACATTTGCCAAGGTAAAGCTCCTACATTTGACATAAAATAATCACTCAAAATATTTCGCACGTTATTTGCTGGTAATCCTCCACGTGTTTCCCGCTCTCTTGGTAGTTCATCAAGGCCTACAATTACATCTGTATCCTCAACCTGGTATCCATCTCTGTCGCGCACAAAATTATGCAAAACGACACATGCCTTAACTATGATTACTGCAAAGTCAGGTTCCAGGTTTATCGCTCTGTGCAATATCCTCCACTTGTTACTTAAAAGTCCAAATGTGCATTCCACATACCTCCGAGCCCTACTTAGACGATAATTAAAAATTCTTTTTTTTATTGTAAGTTGAGATCCCCCAAATGGACGAAGTAAATGCTGGTGGAGGGCAAATGCTTCGTCTCCAACGAAATAATAAGGTAATTTGCAATTGTCTATTCCAGTAACAGTTTTTTCAATAGGTATTTCGTGATCATTATTAATAATTGATGTCCAAAGAGATGATCTTTTAAATATCGATGAGTCGCAATCTTTTCCGTAACTCCCAATGTCTACATACACAAAGCGATAATTTGCGTCAGCAACAGCCATTAAAACTACAGACGAATAACCTTTGTAGTTATAATACATGGAACCTAAGGGATTACTGATTCTAATATGTTTTCCATCGACTGCCCCTATACAATGAGGAAAATTGGCTCGTGTTTCGAATTCTGTGGAAATCGATTCCCATTTATCTTTAGTAGGTGGAGGTATGCACTCTCCCAACATTAAACACCATATAGTAGAACAAACGTCTTTAACAATACCGCTGATGGTTGAAATGCCAAGTCTATACTGAAGGTGCAAGTCAGTAAATGTACATCCACTCGCCAAATACCTAGAAAGAGAAAGTTTCTATTATTTATTTTTGTATTTACAGGTAAAGAGGTTGTAAAGAGGTGGGTCAACATTCGGGATGCATTTAACAAGTTTTTGAAGAAAGAAAAATCGTTCAAAAAGTCTGGTTCTGGTGCCTCAACTTTAAGCAAATACATTTATGCTGAACAACTGAAGTTTCTAACCAAAATATTTACGCATAGATCAACTGAAGATAGTTTATCTGCCAATCCCGTCCAAGCAACTTCCGACGCCGATGTTTCAGAAACTGATACTGAAAATAATAATACCCAGCTTAAATCACCTCCTCGAAAGCAACCTGGCTCTCGAAAAAGAAAAATAGACGACGTTGAACTCAGGATGATTAAAGCTTTAGAACAGCCAGAAGATCGTCATATTTCATTTTTTAAAGGTATCGTCCCATCGTTACATACCTTCACAGACGATGAAACTTTACAATTTCAGACTGGCGTTTTACGATTAATTACCAATATCAAGCAGAGGCGGTTTCAATCAAACCAGCCACTTCCATGTGCCGGAACTTCTGTATATGACAACTATATTAATCGACAAAATAGTACAGAACATGTTCACCGTTCTACTTTGTCATTGCCAAAAGAGCCACCTGCGACTCCTTCAGGAATCTGTATTAACAGAAACATGCCCGCATATACTACAACAAATTATCCACATGAGGCAAACGCACGTGAATATTTTGAACAATACAACCCCACAGCGGAAAATCCATCTTCAGTTGATAGTGCTTCTACACAGGATTCTGTGTACGCGGATTTAGATTTCACATAGTTGTCGATTATACCGTTATTATTAAAACTGTTATTTGAAATGAGTTAATATTTTTCAGTTTGTTAGTACATGTAATTAAACAGAATTTACAAAATATATATTTAACTTTATTTACTCACCTAAGCGTGACGCACAACATTTGTATAGGCTCAATACAATCCCTCATGGCCGTGTTCTTTTTTTGTAATGATGGTTTTAATCGTTCATGTAATTCATCGAATGATTTAATTGACATTCGAAAGTAGATGAAGAACTTATCCTCATGTTCTCGGAGATCCATAAACTTCGTATAAAAATCACCTAATTCCCTTCTTTTGCCAACATATGGATGAATCCAATATATTCTTTCCCATGTTTTTCTACTACGACGCAAGCGACGTCTGTACAAAACAATAAAGCTATAGTTTTTTTTCTATCCATACTGCCAATATGAACACCAGCCCGACACTGCTATTGATGTCACAATGGGTAACCGGACGAAAACCGTTGTAGTTGTGAAGCGATTACATCCGTGTATGCGGTCGCCGTATAAACGGAAACCGCGTGTGTCTGAAAAGGCACAAACACTTCTCCCTGCGACCTGTCTTTATGTGGAGCGTCCCTCTTTTTTCGAGTATAATTTATTGCCGGTTCATTTCTTTCATCTCCTTTACCGCCGTCTGATGGTCACTCTAAGCAAAAGCTAAACATACACGGTAATGATTACCGAAAGGACATACGATAAACAGGTTACAATAACAGTAAGAGTTTTGAGCAACCAAAATTCTTAGAGACAAACACTTGGAGTGCGTATATTTCATATTTTTAACTCTTGTGTTCTGACGATTTAAAAATAGGAAAGTTGATTTATCATTATAAAATCGCCGCAATCAACTTGAGAATTTTATAGACCAATTGCTTGTGGGTCAAAGACGAAATGAAAGAAATCAAAGAATGGAATGAAGCTTTTCAAATGCTGATAATTTTCTGTACGGATTCGCGTCGTGTACCGCCGGAGTGTGGGTAGAGACAGTTGGTATGATTTGTTCACCAAAATATTCATACAGATCATATTGTGGCGGAATCATGAATCTGAATATCCATAATAGTAAACCAGGCTGATATGCATATTATTATTCGCGTGTATGTCCAGCTTTACATACATCCTTCAACTGGATAGATACACCAACACACATGCCCGTATACAATAGGATTCTTTTATGATTTACTGCCTGGAGACTACCAAGATATCAAAATAAAGGGAAGAAGAAGGGTTACAGGTGGATGGTTCATCCAAGTGGGTTCCCTACTTTTAATTTTATTGATTTAAACAGAGTAATGCGTAGTTTGACTTGTCATAGAGTGTTTATACAGGGTAATCCATATTATTTTTTCTGTCTAAATTATATATGATAAATAGCATTTTATGGAAAATAGGCTTGAAAAATAGAGTGTTTTAGCATTCCACCCATTGGTGATAACCCACCTGTCATTCTGGTTTCCTTGACATTGTGCAAGTAACTGCTATACTGATTCTAACAGAGGCTAGAATGGATTATTGTTTGGTTACAAGTTTGAAAATGAGTGTAAGGGCGCTAAACTTAATAACCAGAAAAGAAAGCAGATTCCTCAAACTGTGTGCTTACATCCTAAAAGTGCAGATGAAAAAAATCACTTTGTTGTTGTTTAAATGTTCGTATTTATTTTTCAGTGAACATTAATAATGTAGACTGAGGAGTATAAAATTAAATAAAGAAATTGAACATGACTTCTATTTTCTCGCAATATACTTAAACAATCTACTTTGGAAAGGTTTGCCATTACTCATTGACGTAAATTAAAACTAAATAACAAATTTGTATCGTAATTTCTTCTTTTTGGTACTACCCACCCAAGAATCACAAAAATTTAGTTGCTCAATAAAAAAAGTTCCAGCTCGATGTAACTTGAAACTAACAACTTTTTAGGAGAGCAAAAAGAAGGGTAGGCCTTTGGAGTCGCTATCGAATGATCTTATAATCCTCTATGTCTGTCTAGTCACAAATGAAACATCATAAGCCAATAGTGCCTATTGATGACATTCCGGCAATCACTGTGGCTTTGTCAAGCCAATACATAAGCTTTTTTTTTGCGTTTCGTGGTGTTACAACTTACGCGACGATGTCTCAAATTCCAAATATGTTAGAATAACAATAGTCGCCTTTACATCATTAGCGGAGCATCGAAATATTTGCACCCCACTTCCTGCTAGTTTCGCGACACGTAAAACACTACAGTGTTCTGCGATTCTAGGATTTTGGATACCATAATGTAATTTCAGACACCTCGCCCAAAACTGTTTTAACGATGGAGTGACGCTACTCTTCTACAGTCAATATCATTTCGTCATACCTAAATGCTTATTGAATCACCTTAGGCGATGTTGCAATTCGGTATATTTGGAGGGCAGGAGATGAAGGAGAAATGTGCAACTTCGATGGCTTATTTTTGTACTCTGCAATACCTTTTAGCTACCACTCGGGACCAGTGTACATATTTGGTGAGATAACTAACCCTACAGTCCATAACATACAAAGATAAAAGTCTTTCACTATATGGTGTCAATACGGTACCATTTTTTGGCATTGGAAACCTATTAATTTATGAATTTTGTTAAAAGCTCACTTCATAATAATTGTTGATGAAGTCACCTTTATCTATTAAGCTTATCTCAATGTCAAGAAACAAAATAATTCAAATGGTCAGTTTGAAATTATAGAAATAATTGAGATATTACTTTTACTTGATACAGAAAATACTGTATACCTCGGTTTTTGCGATTTCAAAACCATTATTTTTAAGACTTTGATTTGATCCTATTTCCTAGTATTTTTGAAATCCCGGAATTTGGTTTGCAACTCCTAACGAGTATAATTATAATTATTAAATGGATATTTTCTCATATTTACCTGTAAATGATCTTCTTCTTCAGCTAGATTTGGTAAGATAATGTCCTTATAGATTTTTGGTGATTCCTCTATCATATAGTGCTTTTGAGATGTATATCGTTGTATAGTCTTTTCAGTAGCAGGATGTATAACTGTTGCTTTCACAGCTGCAAAAAAATAAATTTGGAAATATTAAAACATGAAATAATGTCTTTTGAGTTTTTCAAAATTAGCAAATGAATTTAAATGCAGTTTAGAAGGCACTTGTCTACAACAGAACATGGTTAAACTTGCTGCTGAATGGGCTCTCTAGCCATGATGGCTAGGGCACAGTCTCATGAGGGACACAGAATTCTCATTTAATATGGAGGTAGGCCGCATATTTTATGCTTTCTTTCAGCCACAAGGAGTGCAAAACTGAGGCCAGCCCCACCTAGAGCATAAAGTCCAGGTGTTCAAAACTGTTGACCCAGACTTTTCTTTGGAAATCTGTTAGATTTAAGGGACCCCATCTAACATTGGCCTTGGGCCTATAGAGGAAGATGTGTTGAGCTAAACCTTTTGTATCCAATAACAATGGGTCAATTCTTGATAACCATACTCTGTGTATGAAATTAGGAAAATACAATAAATGCAAAATGAAGCAAAACAAAGTTTACCATTGAGATCGGAGGACGGATTGTACCGGTAATCTCCATAAATATCGTTATGAAACGATTTGGTTAGATTATCTTTTCCTTTGAAGTAATCTTTGAGAATTTCTTCAGAAAAGGCCGGCTTTTCTAGAACGACCACAGCTTCTCCAGGATGGGAACTAAAACTACCTCTCAAACATGTGACTTTTCTGTTTGTGTTGTTTTGTAAGATTTCTTTCACTGCGAAGTTGGACAAATCCTTTAAATTCTCGTGGATGGAAGTATCAGTTGAGCCGTTCTCATCCACTAAGTTCAATTTCTTTTCTGCTGGACAGTCACCATTTGTTGACTCTTCAGAAGAAATGGTCAAAACCTCCATGGTCAAATCAATTACACGAAAATATTTGTGAACGAGTAAAAATCCAATGAACTGTCAACACTGATGGAATAGGCGTAACGCAAATTCATTGCGGCTAGAATGCGAAACGAGAAGGATAGCGCTAGTCAGGGCAAAACATCGTGGTCCATTGTGGTATTTCCATATATGAGCCGTCGAAATGCAAACCCCGCCAAGTGCAAACCATACAGTTCCAAGGTAAAAACGCGGAAAACTGTTTTGTGTTGTACTATCCACAAAATGAGTTTACTTTAAATCTTGTTGATGTAGATACTGCTTCTTAATGCATATGATGCATCGTATTACAACAAAGATAGCATTTGCACTGTCAAATAAGAAAAATAAACTGCGGTTGGCGGGGTTTGAAAATAAATGTGAAAAATTTCGGGCTTTGCAGCCAAAATCAACTATTTTTAACCACAATGATGAGAATGCCAGGAAATGGCACAAAACCCTCTGAATCGAAACACTTGATCACGAGACCAAAATACGACTTTCATATTGGTCGTCTGCACTTGGCGAATTTTGCCGACAAATAAATCTGCTATTGGCGATGTATTGAAGGTGAACTGAGTTTTTGATGCTCAATAGTAGAGTAATTTCCGGGTTTTGAGAAATAATATCTTGTCAGAATGCAGATATCAACATTTCCTGTCGAATGACAGTGCTATTTCAATTTTTATTATTTTTGCATTTGGCGGGATTAACAGTTAGACGGCTCATATGTTCTAAGGATTTTTGGTGAATGTTTGTTTTTAGTGACGTTAAAGATTAATAGTGATAAAATCAAATCCAAGCGAATAACCAAAATTTCTGTGTTATGTGCCGCGGTTATAATATGGTTCAAGATGACACACGGGTTGATGACGTCAGTTACACGAATCGCTTGAACGCGTTGGTTTTAACCGCGGTTTTGTTGCAAGTTGTTTATTTTAGAAAAGCGCGTATATAATCTCTGATTATTTTTATTATCACTTAATAATCGGTGCTTTTTCGTCTACAACTGTATATGGAAAGTTTAAGTAAGAAACCTTTCATAATATTCATGGGAGAAATGTTTTTTCAGATTTTTTTTTAATGATGGAACCATGGGTGTGTAGCTATGATAACTTTCAATTCTCTAAATTTTTCCGCATGTCAAAGAAAACATTTATTGATTCAGCAGAAATGATGAAAAAAGAAATTAGCAAAACCGTATACAGGTGGATATCATCTAGTGAGTTTATATGGCCATATTTTAATATTCTTGTGGTATATGGCTACACAGGATACTTTGTTAAGCATAGGAACTACATTTAAAGTGTCCCCAACAACCGTAATGAGTATAACTAATAAGGTGCTCCACTTTATGGTAAAACTGAAGTCAGCCTGTATCATTTTTCTCAAAAATGAAGCTGAAGTACAATAACTATATCCAATACCCGGCAAAATTCTAACTTGTCACATTTCAAATAATAACCAGAAATATAAAACTACTCTTGAGTTGGATAAAAACCACAATTTTGCGGTGATAACTATGACATATAACAGCTGATTCGTGACGTCACGGATCTTATAACCAAACTGATAACTACACTCGCTTGAACGGATTGGTAAATACCAACCCAAAATGGTAAATACCATTTCCATTTGGTTATCCGCTTGAATTTGATTATAGTTTGCGACAATATAATTATAAACATTTTTGTGCCGGACATCCTTCAAGAGCTGTTGTTTTATGTCATATTTGTTTAAAAATGGTTGAATCTTGCAGTGCGGTGAATTGTTGCAAAAGACGCAGAAAAGATGTGAAAATGAAGTTTCACAGGTTGATTTTAATCATCTCATTCATTTTTGTGTGAGAATTACCTGTTAATTGGTAATTCGAGAAAATATCTGAACTTTTAGGATACCTACAGATCCTAACATGAAGTTGTGGTTACATGCTATAAGAAGAGAAAAATTTATTCTCAGTACAACAACGGTAATTTGTGAAAAGCATTTCACTCCAGAGGATTATGAAGTTAGTGTTCATGGAAATAAGGTACTAAAAAAGATGGCAGTTCCTTCTCTGTTTGATTTTCCAGCCCATCTCAAGAAAGAACCTAGCCATCGAAGGGTTTTGAAAAGAAAACATGAATACATAATTTCTAGAATGAACTATGGTATAACCTATATTGTATTATAATGAAAAACTGTGCATCTACAGTATTGTTAATGCCATTGTGCACAAATATTTTGTATACATATATATGTGAGAAAATTATCATTTTCCTAGGGAAAATCAAACACTTCATAACTTGTATCACATGTATTCACTCCAGCATCTGTTACAAGACTGAAAAAACACATCGGAATTTCACGGAGACCAGAAGTAAGCAAAACATATTCATTGGCGTAGCCTAGCGATTCAGCGAAAGGCTCACATCTATATACAGTTGAAGTTGAGTCATTAATTTTCAGATAATGATTGTAGAAGGAAGATAAACCAAAATGTGTGTAAAAATAAAAAAAAGATGTTACCTTGTTTTATAAAGTATCCTCCCGACAAGTATTTCAGTGCGGACCTGTATTTGATCGTGCGGTCTTGGAGCACCGGCATACCCTCCCCTGTGAGGTCTTAAGTCACCTGATTCACGAGCCCTTTGTGCTACATTAACAAAGGCACGAGGGGTTGGGTGCACTCGATTGGGAAACCGATCCGCATAAATCCGTGATGCCGCGGCAGCATTTTGTAAAGACCCCCCCGTAAATAAGAATCATGTCCACAAGTTCAGCATTTTCGTAAACATGTGCAATTTTTTATTTCGTTTGAGACACGCAACAAACACCACTATTCACTCAAGCGTTACCGACTGACCCATTGACTGAATACAACTGAATAAAATTGTAGTAAAAACATCGTGATAAGCGTTTCAAATTCTTTCGCTTTTTTGTTTCCGATGCGATGAACCGATAAGGCGGATTATTTCCGTTGTTGCCAAACACGAGCACATAATATTATTATTGAGACAGGGCGGTACTCAAACTTCTAAAGGGCTATAACTTTGTTACTTTAATTTTACCAGAAAAATGTTATAGGAAAAAACATTTATTTTGATCAGATCTACTCACTGTTAAAATAAATGACTGAACTTCGAAGTCACCCTGTATATATATATATAAGGGTTTTTTCTTTGTACACTTTAGGCCCGTATCGTCAGTCGTCCCTACAATAGTAGATTACACTTGTCCCGTGTCAGCGTCATCGCTCTCCTATTGTGAAGATAACGTATGTGTTCTTTTTAAATTGTAGGAAATTTCAGGCTGATGAAACATGATATAACTCAAAAGCAAGCACAATTTGATGCAAATAGATGTTTGTGACATAACCTCAAAATAGAGTTCTGACACGGAGAAGTAGAAAACTATGACAATCAAGGAGACCATAAAGGCGCCTTACAATTTTTGTAGGGACGACTGACGATACGGGCCTTAATCTCTACAAAACTGGACGTGTTCCCACTACATTTAGTGTTGACAGCGACAGTACTATAAAAATAAATTTAAATGTGCATAAATACTATTTGGAACATTATGAAAATGTATAGAAAATAGCATGTATTTATTGTGATATTTCTTAGATCTCTTATTTTTTATATGTAAGATATAGCATATTAGAGCAGTTAAGTTAATTATAAGGAGACATGTAATCTCTTTGCTACCTGAATTATTAATTACTTATGTTAAATACTAATTTTTATATCTTCAAATGTGTAAAGGAGAATTTATTGTCAAGTTTCATACATATGTATATATAAATAAATAAAATTGGTTTTTTAATTATAATTACGTTTCCAGGATTTTATCTCGTTCCAGTTGCCTGAATAACTTTTAAATCTCTAAGAATCCTCGATTTCTATGAATTCATTCAAGTTCGCGCGCTTTTTGCCCTGACTAGCTCCATCTCTCTCTCTCGGACCTCTTTGTCGTATGTTGACCGCATTATCGTTTCATTGTACAAATGGGACGGGGCGATTCCATCAGTGTTGACATTTCGTTGGTAAAATCAAGAATCTCTAACCTCCCTCATAATATGTATAACCGTTTCAAGATTCAACCAGAGATAAACCCTTGATTCAACAGACAAAACATAACATGCACTGATTTATCACTTTATCAGATCACGCCATCCACAGGACGATACATTTTTATCGACAGGAAGGAATGGAGGTACCAGTGGTGCCAAACCTACTGATTTTTCGGTATTTCTACCGAAATGAGACCCATAGAACATGGCCTCATGTTCCACGATTCTTTTACAACAATCTAGATATTTCTAGATTTCTTATCGAAAAAGAGCTGGAACCAAAAATAATGGTAGATTTGGGTTATCTACAATTATTATGTATGCACATCCCCGGGTTTTTGTGTACAGACTGGTAGATCACCGTTATTATCGCATCACCAGAGAGGAATAATGAAACCAAAGCTCGTCTGATTTAATTGTATGTTAAATTAAAATGTCAGGTGATAAGGCTTCAGGTTCAGGAATGCAAAAGCAGAAACATAATCAGAATCATGCAAGCAAGAATGGCAAAAGAAGTTTAAATGATCTCCGTAAGGGAGTTTGAAGAACGACCAGTACGTGCTTGGTACAAGTTGTAATGAAGAATTTTATTCAGGAACAGATGCTCTCAAAAAAATATGTGTTGTGTATGTGTGCCCAATACAAAATTATACGTTTTTCGTAGAGTGCGCTGTGTGATGCAAAGTCCCTTGATCCAGCGTTGATTTTTTTTCCTCCTACCGATTCAGTCCTTGAATCTACCGAATTTCGACACTGTCTACCGATTTCGTATTTTTCGGTTCGGCAACACTGAGAGCAGAGAACTTTCTTTTCCCTTCTCTAATTTAATTCCCCGAAATTCATTTCAATGTATTTTATAAAATTAAATGGAACATATTTTACTTTGAGTAGCGGTAAGCTCAGCGAAATAATCGTTAATTTTGCTAACTTATTGCGTACCGGAAACTTCCTCAATCCTTTGAACTTCGCGCCTACCGGATTGACATACGTCAGGAGAGCTTCCTCCTTTCTGTCTGTCCGAAAAGTTTCGATTTCCTTTCGTTAAAGTGCTTGGAAGAAATGGCACCTACAAAGCCAAAATCGGGTGATAAACCCGGTAAGTAGTATTGTACTACGTTCTACTTACGTTAAATATCATAAGAATTATGTATTGCGCGTTTCTGCATTTGAAAAAGTGTTATTTTTGTGTATGTTGACGACTACAACATGGTCCAAATTTTACCACGTTAGAGAGGCCATGTGGAAGCATGTGTTTGTACACTATCTATCACAGATGATGAGTTCTAGTGTGGGAATCTCTTTGAACATCCTGAAAACACCCTAATCACCCAACTGACTTCATTACACACAGCGTTTTCATCACAGATTTTGAGGTTATATACTTAAGTATTTTCGTATGTTGCAGCGGCAAAAAAGGATGAGAAGAAGAAACCCGCTTCAGCACCGGCTGGTGGGTCTTCAGGAGCCGGTGGCAGCTCCAAAACTCCGGCTCCGGCCCCTAAGGCTGCAACTAAAGTACCGTCAGCTCCAGCTGCAGGTAGCAGTAAACCTGCTGAGAAGAAGTCTTCCAGTGCAAAGGCTGCAAAACCTGCAGCTGCTGCGAAATCCGCCAAAGCACCTGCCCCTGCTCCTAAGGCTAAGGTAAGGATGCATGTCATTTAACATGTTTGAATCATCATTTCATAGACAAAGTCGGAATGCTATTCAGTAGTGGAACTAAAATACTAAAACTTTATAAAGCATCAGTTAGTTAAACCACAGGGTAGCCTACCTGAAGCACCTTCATAGCTCACAATACCCTTCTAAATGCAAATGGGAATATGACCATCACAAAAGTTTTAAGACTGACTTTGAGCGATTGGGAATATGTTTAAAAAAAGTTTGTCATAGGAGATTGAACATGTATATAAGAATTCCTAGTGCAACATTTCTTTTCCTGTTTCCTGTTGTTGCATGCAAATTAAACATTTTATGTCATGTAATTTGTGGTGCAGAATGTGAATGATATAAAAATATTGTCAATTGTCATTGGGTCCAAATTAGGATACTAGGCTTCTCCCAAATGATAGTCTATGTGGGATCTTAGAAAATATCCCTATAGAGTGAAACAAAAATACAAAATATTGTAGGGTATAGTTCCTCTTTTTTTTATTCTTGCAACTGAATGAAACACATGGTAATTTCTGGTGCTAAGCATGAATGTGACCATCAAAAACTGTTAATTATTATGGGGCTGAATCTGAGGTGGGAACTTAGCGATCCAGGACCATATTTAGGTACTGGCATTAATTTGACATTGCAGCCCATCATCTCTCACCAAATAAATCCGATTCAAAGTTTGCTTCTCCAATTTACCTATTAAATGGGTTCTCATACCGTATTATATTTGAGCTTAAGTTTTATTTTGATGTTTTTCACATTTAATTATGAAAAATTTCATAAACTGCTTTTTTCAAAATGAGAAACTAGTTCAGCCTATTGGTCCATTAGATGTGAATTTTTCTTGTTAGCTTAGATATACGGTTGAATTAACATGAGAGATACTACAAACATTTTAATTAATATTGCCTCTTAGACCAGCACCACCTCAGCGCAGAAACCCACCACTGCCAAGGCAGCCAAAGTAGCCAAGGGTGCAGCTAAGCCTGCTGCTAAGCCCACAGCAAAGGCTGCAGCAGGGAAGAAGCCAGCAGTAAAGGCTGCTGCAGGCAAAGCTGCAGCTGGCAAGGCTAAGCCTGCACAGAAGACAGTGGTGACAAAGGTGAAGAGGAATGTGTCAGTTAAGCAACAGCCAAAGGGTGCTGGTAAGAAGGTACCAACTACCCCTGCAGCTGCTGCTGCTGCAAAAGCTAAGAAGATTCAAAAAAAGGTAAGTTTATTTATTTTTGTTCTGTCAGAACATGTCTATTTGAAATCATTAGCAATTTACTCTTGTCACCACACTGTGTAATTGAAATAAAATTTTGATAGATCCTGGAAAGTCAAAAGATTCAGAATATTGAACAGGAAAGTTTTATACACATTCCAGAAATGGAAATAATCTAGGAAACATGGCATGATAGCTGTGAACTAGTTGAAACTGAAGATTTGGTATGCTGGCATTGCTGCCTATATTATGCATTGGGAAAAGAGGTTTTTTTTTTAGTACATATATTATATTGAAAAACTCTAGGAATGTGAAATTTTTCAAATAGCAAATTTAAAATTCTAGGTTTGTGATTTGCTTGCACTGATCTCATTTTGTAATATATGCTTATCACAATTGTAGGTTTTTGAAGAAGCTAATAGATACTAGTAAGAGTTCAAAGTAGCAAAAAGACTATACAAGGCTTTAAACATGTTATTAACATCAGCCCCATCATTTCACATCTTCATGTAAAATTACTTACAGTACAGCTAATAATGGGTGATTTTTTTTGCTAGTATCTTTTTGGCAACACTGTTTTTGACAGATGACGCGTGAATCGTGTCTTGTGTCATTATCAAACTTGTTCAGTTTGGTCTATAATTTAACCATGAATCGACTTACGAACGAACAACGCTTGCAAATTATTGAATTTTACTATCAAAATTCATGCTCGGTTAAGAGAGTGCATCGAGCACTGCTTCCAATTTATGGGCAATTTGGTCGGCCTACTGAGGGAGCTATTCGAAAGCTTGTGACTAACTTTCGAACCCAGTTTACATTATTGGACATTAAACCACCAACACGCAGACGTAGAGTGAGGACTGAAGAAGATATTGCGGCTGTATCCGCCAGTGTTAGTGATGACCTTGAAATGTCGATTCGCCGCCGTTTGCAGCAATTGGGCCTCTGTTACTCCACTACGTGGAAAATTTTGCGACAGGATTTGGGTGTAAAACCTTATAAGATACAGCTGGTGCAATAATTGAAGCCACACGACCTCCCACAACGTTTCCAGCTTGGTGAATGGGCACTGGCAAAGTTGGAGGAAGGTCCACATTTTTATCGAAAAATTGTGTTCAGCGACGAAGCTCATTTCTGTTTGAATGGGTACGTTAACAAGCAAAATTGCGGCATCTGGAGTGAAGACCAGCCAGCAGCATTTCAAGACCTACCAATGCATCCGGCAGAAATCACTGTTTGTTGTGGATTATGGGCCGGTGGCATCATCGGGCCGTACTTCTTCAAAGACGACAATGGCCGGAACGTAACTGTGAATGGCGAGCGCTACCGTGCGATGATAACAAACTTTTTTTTGCCCAAAATGGAACAGCTGGACTTGGCTGACATGTGGTTTCAACAAAACCGTGCCACATGCCACACCGCACACGAAACAATGGCCCTATTGAGAGGCGAGTTCGGTGAACAGTTTATCTCACGTTTGGGGCCCGTCAATTGGCCGCCTAGATCGTGTGATTTAACGCGGTTGGACTATTTCTTGTGGGGCCATGTTAAGGCTAATGTCTATAGGGATAAACCAGCAACGATTGACGCACTGGAAGCCAATATTGAAGCATTTATTCGTGATATACCGGCCGATATGTTGGAGAGAGTGTGCCAAAATTGGACCTTGCGCATGGGCCATCTAAAGCGGGCCGCCGCCAACATTTACATGAAATAATCTTTAAACATTAAATTATATCGACCGTTCTATCGACTCAAATAAAGATTTAATCGTTTTTTCCAATTTTTTGTGATTTTTTTGAAAATCAAATCCTATACCTCTTAAAAAATCACCCGTTAGTTTGTTTTCCATCAGTGGAACAAATTCTCCTGTAGATATTGCTTTGAAACCTATGAGAGGGATACTTTAAGACTAAAATCTTACATTTCTTTGACATGACATAGATACTATCAGTTGGATTAATTATAAAAAGTGTATCTATATTTTCATATTTGTTTTGGAAGTAAGGATATTATATAGAACATATGTGATGCTAGATCCTTGGGGATTACAACTACAAAGAATAAACCTAGGAGAAAATGAAAAAATTGGGTTCAATCTAGTCTACAGTGCTTGTAAAGCAACTGTCATTATCAATTTTTTCTATGATCCGTTAGTATTTATGGAATGTGATACTTATATCTATTTACTGTGTAGGCAAGACATCAGTAATTATTGATTCATAAGGTTGTGTACAAATCCATTGATACTGACTGAATGAATAAATACTGATGGTAGGATCCACAGTAAATACTAATTGTGTGATATATGCTTTTGTTATAGGTATATCAAGTTACCACTGATGGTGAATCCATCAGACACAAATGGACATTGCTCCACCACTCTGTATTTTTTCTTTTTTAGTTTTACATATTGCAAATACATGATGAAAAGTTGTTGGGAATCTCTTTGAAAAATTCGATGTAAATAACAAATTTTCTCTGATAACATCTTATATTGAAATTCATGCTTGCTTCTTTGTATAAGCATCTGACTTAGGTTTTTATTTCAGATAATAAAAGGCCCTAATGGTACACGTGCACGCAAAATCCGTACGTCAGTACATTTCCACCGCCCCAAAACCTTTAGGCCACCAAGGAATCCTAAATACCCACGCAAGAGTGTACCCACGAGGTCAGTATGTTTTAAAATATCAAAACGATTTTTCCGTCACAGATAAATTGCGGGTTCTAACGATCTAAAAACGATTGGCTACAAATTGCAACAACTCACTGACTGGCACTAGTGATCACTTGATGGCCCTATTCCTATGTAATGTACTATATTTTCCTTGTATTTTTTGACATTAGGAAGGCCCATATTCGCAGAATATAAAATGGATAATTTAACATTATATATATACTTCTTTAATTGAAAAAATACCTCATGGCAAACCAGAATTCATATGTATAAAAATATATAGTCTTGAAGACATAATATATTATGTGATACACTGTGTAGCATACATAGAATGGATACTGTAGCATTAATGCTAAGTAAATCTAGAACAAACAAACAAACGTCGCATGTACCACTGGCTGTATCTCAGTAACCCTTCAACCTAGATCTGTTGCTTAAAATTTTTTTTGAAAAAGTTGACAAAAGAAATTCACCTTTCTAAAATAGCCACTGTGGGTAAAATTATGACCTCAAAATCAGAAATTTTTTTGACATTCTTTATTAACATACATATATCTAAAAAAGCTTAATTGGATAGTGTTCTTGTTTTGCGTCATTTTTTGTTAACATCATTTTCACGTAACTCGATTGGTTTACAGAGTCGAGAATGCACTTTTCCAAAAAAGTTTTTGTAGTTTAGTTCTTTTTTCATCTGTTAGGCAGCATTCAAATTTCAAATGCAATGGTATTATTTTTCATCATCCCTCTAATGCATTTTTGGGAAGGTGAAAATGATTTCCATCCATTTTTTAACTGATAGGGCTAGGTTGAGTGACTGTCGAGATCCAGCCAGCATTCTTTATGATTTTTCCCAAGTCATCCTTGAATAATATTTCCGTAATAGCAGGAAATAATTGTATGGGTCTTTGCACTGGTTTTGGCTGTCAGTTTTGGCATCATATGAAATAAGTAAACAGATTACCTAACCATTCTAATAAATATAGCATAATCTGTCGACATTGTCCACTAACTGTATTACTAGGCATTGCTATATTTTTGATATCAAACATTAGGAAAAGGTTAATTCGAATCGCTTGGCCATTGCAATTTAGTTGTCCTACTGCCAGTAACAAGCATATGGTAGCGGACAAAAGTTAGGAAACATTCTTAGTAATTTTTGAAGTGTGCTAATTTTTTATTCTTTATTATTAAGGAAATTTTTTTCTCATATAGTTTGCTTACAGTCTTGAGGATACAAATGACAATTTGTGTTTGCTGTGGTACCACAGATTAGCATTAAAATACCTTCATATTATTTTATGACCGAAAATGAGACGACAAAAGTATGGAAACATATTTTTTATTACAAAATTAAATACAATAACTCTACAAAAAGATTTAAAAAATACTGTTCATCTAATATTCAGTAGTAAGGCCTTTAACATTCAATGCCGCCTGACATATGCTGGTCATAGAAGACACCAATTTTTTACGGACGTCTGGTAAGATATTTTGCCAAATATTTTTAGCAAAATCAAAAAAATCGTTCCTATTTTTAAAGTTTTTCTTGTCAGATGTCTTTTAACATGCTCCTAGTGATGCTCTGTAGGGCTTAGGTCTGGGATTTGCGAAGGCCACATAAGAACATTAATATTTTTTAGTCTTAATCACTCCTTTACGAATTTTGATGTATGCTTCGGGTCATTATCTTGCTGGAATATCCATCGTAAGGCATTTCTTCTTCAGCAAGAATAACTTTGTAAAGTTTTTGATCCATTTACCCAACAATTTTAAGTTCCATAACTAGAAAAACAGCCCCAAACCATGATATTGCCTCCACCGTGCTTAACCGTTGGCAACCGATACTTTCTGTCGAATCTTTTTCGTATTGGACGTCTCACATATGCTGTACCGTTAGATCCAAATAATTTGCTTCCATCGCTCCATAAAACTGTATTCAATTGTTGTTCTGTCCAAGTTGAATGAATTTTAGCAAATTCAAACCGAGCAATACGATTTTTTTTTAAAATGAGAGGCTTTTGCACTGGACGCCGCCTACCAAAAAGCCCAAAATCCGCGAAACGTCTCTGCACTGTTCTCAGAAAGATTCTCGGCACCTTCTACGATTCTTTTGAAAATATGTGCAACTGGCATTCGGGGATCTTCATGGGACAAACGTGTAATGTAGCGATACAATACATAATCGTTTTTTTTTCGGTGTTTCGAACATGGGCCGCGTTGCTGTTGATCCGTACTCTTGATACTTACTAATAATTTTCGAAATCGTCGCTTTGTTCATTTTTAATCTTTGAGAAATGTCAACATTTCTGACACCACTTCTAAATAATTCAATTACTTTGTCTCTTAAATCTTTTGAAAAATTCTTTTACTTTTGCCATTCTCAATGATATTAATATTTACCGCACGCAATATCATCATCGCAGACCGAATAAATACCGCAAAACTGAAATGTTTCCATATTTTTGTTGTTACAAAAACTGTGGTATTTAAAAAAATGTGTTTTTATTTTCAGAGAATTTGAATATTGATAAGATAAACCTTTTATTAGTAGGGAGACAAAGGTAGACTTTAATATTTATATTATCTGATCCTTCACAATTTTAATTTAGGTATATTAATAGTTCACAATAATGTTAATCTTTGTTTAAAAACTTTTGTCCGCTACTGTATATTTAGAATACTTGTACGTAACAAGAAAACTTCAGAAAGTTGTGATACAAAACTAAATGACGCATGTCTGTAGCCTTCACGAACGTCCATACTCAGAGGTAGAATGCATGCTTTTGTGAGAGTGAGATGGAGCTATGAAAGCGATACTGGTAGATTTACTGCGACCTGCCAAAAGACCTATATCCGAAATCATTTATTGTCAGGTCCCGCATGGACGCCTACAATATCATCAAGTTCCCCCTGACCACTGAAGCGGCCATGAAGAAAATCGAAGATAACAACACTTTGGTGTTCCTGGTTCACACGGAGGCCAACAAGCACCACATCAAAGCTGCCGTCAAGAAACTGTACGACATTAACGTGGCAAAAGTGAACACCTTGATCAGGCCCGACGGCAAGAAGAAGGCGTACGTTAGGTTGGCTAGGGATTACGATGCGCTGGACGTAGCCAATAAGATCGGCATTATATAAGTGATTTTTTGTTTTATTTTATAGACTTTAACTATAAATACAATAATTTGAAAAGGTCTAACTTTTATTTTCTGTTCCTTCACAATCGAAACAGTTAATCTGGGATACCAGGTACTGTGAACTATTTTATATGTTGAATGATCAAAATTCAGCAGAATATTCGCTACCTTGGGAATTCCGTGGTATGCCATTTTTGGTTTGAAATTTAATCAGCAAAAGATTCAATTTGGTCTTATACGTGAAAGAGCTTTATACGCATAAAAAGGTTTCGACAAATGCAGTTGCCGGGAAAAAGTTAGGCTATTCGTTCAGGGCTAAGTTCTTTTCTTCGCATGACCTCTTCAGTCTATACAAGGTCCAGATAAGACATAGCCTCAAGTATTGCTCACTCGGTTGGGTGTTGCCGCCCCGATTACACCGTGCGCTATGCTGTCCGGCTGATCGATTACTTTTCTCTAACAGTCTCGGGATCCTTTCATACCATCGGGCCGTAAGCAATCTAGCTCTCTTCTGCTAAACCAATGGGCTTTGCTCCATGAGCCGTCGAGCGATGTGCCTACCAGACAGACCCGCCTGACTTCGGCCTCCCAACCTAACAGTGTCGAACTTCGTACATCCAGAACTGGCCGATACGTCCACTCCCTTGTCCAGAGGTTGTCGAAATTGTAGAACAACCTACAAAAGGGGGCTTTTACCAGTTCTACTAACCTAAGGCAGTTTAATGACTGGATTAACAAAATTTCTTTGGGACCCTCATAGCAGCCGCGTTGTCCTGGCATTTAGGCTTCTGCCTGCGCAGCTGCTACGGTGTAAAAATCTTTTTAATAAACAGTCTCGGGAGTCTTTCGCAATGTCAGGGTTGTCGGCGATCTAGCGCTCTTCTACCGCTACACCAACGGGCTTTGCTCCTTAGAGCTCTCCATGATGCCACCGCGCGATGTGCCTGCCAGACAGACCCGCCTGACTTCGGCCGCCCATCCTAACAGTGTAGAACTTCGTAGATCCAGAACTGGCCGATGCCGGCCACTCCCTTGTCCAGAGGTTGTCGAAATTGTGGAACAACCTACAACAGGAGGCTTTTCCCAGTTGCACTAACCTTAGGCAGTTAAAAAATTGGAGCAACCAAATTTCTATGAGATGGTCATAGCAGCCGCGGTACGTGTCCTGGCATTTATTCCTCTGCCTGCGTGGCTGCTTTGGCGTAAAAAACTTGGTATTTTTTTACCTTAGGTGTATCATCAGAAGGTAATTTCAGATATTCTCCACTTTCCTTCCAACTCTGATGGTCTCCCAAAACGTCATTTCTCCATGACTAACAATAACAAGCCTGACGCCAAAACAGTACTCGACCCATTTATCTTTATTTATTCCAGCATATGACCCACATTATATTTTAAGACAGGCAGGTATAGGTATATATAAAAGGTATGTTACAAAATTACATCTTAAGTAATGGGAATAGTAACAATAAGCGTTGATTAACGTTTTCTACCTGAAGATAGCCAACCTATCAGACTTGAGTAGTATTCGAATACTCAGTATTTTGAATCATATTCACAATACATTTGGCTGGCATTCAAATAGAATATACTTGTGTGTTTGGTATTCGACTGAATACTTTTTTGGTCAGGATTCTGAATACCTTATTCGAATACTCAGTTTGAATTGAAATCCCGGTATTCGAGTCCTGTACCGGAATGCTATTTTCGAATACTGTTCAGCTATTCTTATGAATATTGCGATACGCTTTACGCAAATTGAGCGTGTTAAAACACGTTCGCGGTTATTGTGGATGGCACAAACAAGAGGTTTCGTAAAGTTGTTTGTATGGACGGTGGTGCTTATGAATCCGCGATGCCGACAGGTCCCTTAAGGATCGATTACGTATACATTTGCGCTTGTGCAGTATTGTTATTCCATTTTATAATAAATTTTAATACCTTTTATAATATGTGTGTGATATCTGATAGATATATAAAAAGGTAAGTTTATGTTTTTATTATGTAGACACATTGCCTAAGATTCATATATTTTCTTATTGAGATTTATTCTATTATACCTCACAGTGACACTATCAAAATGTTTTATTTAATATAATATTATTATTTTTATAACATACATAAAATAAAGTTTAAAGTGCCTGCTTTTTTTAGTTGGAATATTTAAAACGTTTTCACATTTAAATGAATCCAGGTATACAAAAGAGCAGTATTCGAATATATTTTCCTCGTATTCGAATCTTGAATACAATTTAAAATACATATATGCTCATAAATCTATGAGACAGTAACTCTTTTCAAATTATACCATTCTGATCGACATTACCGATGACGTAGGGTAGAGGATCGTTGAAGCTTAGATTATCGTGAACACGATACAGGCCGACAACCTCTTGATTTGATGTTA